TTGATGACAGGGTTCATAATTGATTCTATTTTTGTTTTACCAGTGGAATCATATCTGATCTTTTTCCTGGAGTCCAAATTCCAGAACATGATTATGGTATTTTGCAGTCAACAATTGTGGATGTCATGAATGGACAAAATCTTCAGCCTGAGATGTGTATGGTTAAAAAAGTGATACAGTTCTATGAAACTATGCTTGTGAGGCATGGTGTTATGTTAGTTGGGCCAACAGGAGGTGGCAAGACTACAGTTTACCAAGTGCTAGCAGAAACTTTAGGGAATTTACAGAAACTTGACACAGGCAATCCCTTTTATCAAGCAGTTAAAACCTATGTTCTCAATCCTAAGTCTATCACAATGGGTGAATTATATGGTGAAGTTAATAACATAACCTTGGAATGGAAAGATGGTTTGATGGCTCTAAGTGTCCGAGCAGCTGTAAATGATACTTCAGAAGACCATAAATGGATCATCAGTGATGGGCCAGTGGATGCTCTTTGGATTGAAAATATGAATACAGTGTTGGATGATAACAAGATGCTTTGCTTGGCTAACAGTGAAAGGATTAAACTCACACCTCAAATTCACATGCTTTTTGAGGTAAATGGGTGACTTATTGTGAAGTGAAATAATTTATCAAGTTGGCATGTCATCATTAAGATTTTTTTCTCACACTGATATATTATTTACTATCTGTGATAGTGTTTTTTTTCCTTAATAAGTTAGATTTTACTTTCATAATGGGATTAAATTCTGACCAAACCTCTCAAATGATCCTATCTCTCTGTAAACAGTAAAATAAATTCTGGCACCCCCAGAACCTGTTTTCTTTTTAAGGCAGATAGATGTAGATACATATAATTTTAAATTCTACGTAAAGAAATTGTTATATTTTGTATGAATAAATTATCTCACTGTGGTATAATTATTTGGTGAAGGACTGAAAGAAGGATATGGACCCAGTATGGAAGATACCACCTGGGCTCCATTCATCAAGTACTGATTATTGAATACCTACTATATGCTAGATAATAGACTAGGTATTGGGATATAAGAATGAGGAAAGAAGAGAAAAGGAAAGAAAAAAGAAAGGAAAACAAAAAAAAAGAAATGCCAATTCTTGCCCATAGGGATTTGACAGTATACTCCTATACTCTTGCGATTTTTCTTCACCCTATACTTCATTTCCACTTCTAATTTCTTACTGCTCTCCCACTGTCTTCCATATAAAGCTTTTCAGTGGTAACTTAAGCTTCAAAGGTATGAATCATTAATATTGAAGTTGGAGGGGCAAAGAAGTAGCATGTTAGCTGCTTCCTTTTCAACTTTAGGTGCAAGATCTAAGGGTTGCCTCCCCTGCAACTGTCAGTCGATGTGGAATGGTGTTTGTGGATCCTGAAGAACTAAAATGGATGCCTTATGTTAAAACATGGATGACAAGTATTTCTAAAAAAGTAAGTACAGCCAGATATGTCCCTCATATCTCCATCTGTTGGGGCACAAATAGCAGTAGGTAAGGGCACCACTGTGCTTGACTGGGTGAATTTCATCACATTATCTTGCTCTTCTCCCTAAGAACTTCTGGATGCTCCAGGAATGTTTATATAACCCCAAAGTGCTTCCTTATTATCTGGTATCTCAGCCTGCCAGACTGTCTAGTCACTCTGCTGCATGCCCACTCTGTCTGGCTTCTCCCCAGACTGGTTCCTCTAAAATACAAACACAAGCCACTTCCTTGACTCCCTAAAAATATATATCTAGAAGAGGCTGAGGCAGTGAAAAAAAGACTCTTGCAGAAAGCTTGGAAGCATTGAGAGGAAGTCACAATGAAGGAAAAGAATAATTAAGTTCAGACATTAATTGAATTTTAGATTTTAAAGAACCCCTGTGTGTTAGCTATAGCTTTTTTGTTGCTGAGACAAAACTCCTGATAAAACAGCTTAAAATGAAGAAGGAATTTGTTTGGCTCACAGTTTCAGAGGTTTTAATCCACCATGGCCAGGAGGACATGGTAGAGCAGAGTAGCTCACATCCTGGCAGCCAGGAAGCTTTCTCCTTTTATTCCTTCCTATCCCCTAGCTTATGGCATGGTGCCACCTACATTCAGGGCAGGTCCTCCTCCCTTTGTTAACCTTCACTGTAAATGCCCTCGCAGACACACCCAGTGGTGTGTTTTGCTAATACTAATCTCCTAGACACTTCTCAATCCATTCAAGTTGATAATCCAGATTAACTATCACAGTCCCTAACATCTCAGAGAGCCAGAAAGAAAATAAAATTTCTTTACCTCCTGCCTTAATTTCAGGTGAAGATCTGAGACATATTCTAACCTGATAGGCACAATTCCATCCAAACTGAAGGAAAAAACTCAATTGCATATTAACCTCTGAACTTTCTCCATCCCCAAACAGGATTTTATCTTGACCTTAGTTTGACAAGTAATCTTTTAAAGTATTCCCACTATCCCATCTCTGTTCCAATGATGCCGATTTCTTTTCTACCTCTTCTCTAAAGATGAATCAGAAAAATATTCTTTCCCTCTTTCTTAAACATCAATATTTAAAAAATATTATGGCTCCGTTTCATACTACCTTATTAAGGAAGTAGTTCTCAGAATTGAGAATTTGTCACAAGCTACCTTGAGATTTAAAACCTTCCTGAAGTTACAACTAGCAGACTTTATTTTATTAGAGCAATTTTAGGTTTTATAGGAAAATTGAACAGAAAGGCTAGAGAATAAACATGAACTTCCTGTCTCCCAAACATACTTTCCCTTATTTTTAACCTCTTCCATTAATGCAGAATCTTTGTAAAAATTGGTGAACCAGGTTTGGAGATGTAGCTCAGTGGTAGAGTTCTTGCTTAGTATGAACAAGGTCCTGGGTTCCATTCCCAGTACCCCAAAACAATTTTTTTTAAATTAGTGAACCATTACTAATGCATTATTATTAACTAAAATATGTGGTTTACAGTAGGATTCGCTCTTTGTGTTGTAACAATTTATGGATTTTTTAAATTCATAATATCATATATCTACCACCACAGTATCTCTTCTTTTTTTATTCATTTATTCACATGTGCATACATTGTTTGGGTCATTTTTCCCCTCTGCTCTCCACCCCTACCATGTCCCCCACTCCCCTCCTCGCTTCTAGGCAGAACCTGTTCTGCCCTTATCTCTAATTTTGTTGAAGAAAAGACATAAGCATAATTAGAAAGACAAAGCATTTTTGCTAGTTGAGTTAAGGATAGCTATACAGAGAGATTCCTAGCATTGCTTCCATGTACAAATGTGTTACAACCCAAGTTGATTCATCTCTAACTGATCTTTACACTGGTTCCTGATCACCTTACTGTGTTGACCTCTGTCACTTTAAGGTTTCTGTATTAGTTCCTCTGGAGTGGAGACATCAAATGCTTTCATGTTTTGGGTTTACTACCAATTCCCATACCTCCTGTATGTGCTCTCCCCTTGTCATGTGACCCAAGTTCAACCACATTGCTGTATTTGCCCTAGATCTAAAGTCCGCATATGAGGGAGAACATACAATTTTTGGTCTTCTGAGGCTGGCTAACCTTGCTCAGGATGATGATCTCCAGTTTCATCCATTTACTTGAGAATGATAAGATTTCATTCTTCTTCATGGCCGAGTAAAACTCCATTGTGTTAAGTACCACATTTTCTTAATCCTTTCATCAGTAGTGGGGCATCTTGGTTGTTTCCATAATTTGGCTATGTGAATAGCGCTGCAATAAACATGGGTGTGCAAGTGCCTCTGGAGTAACCTGTGTTGCATTCCTTTGGGTATATCCCCAGGAGTGGGATTGCTGGATCATATGGCAGATCTATGTTTAGATGTCTAAGAAGCCTCCCAATTTTTTTCCAGAGTGGTTGCACTAGCATGCATTCCTACCAGCAGTAGATTAGGGTTCCTTTTTCCCCACATCCTCACCAACACCTGTTGTTGGTAGTGTTTTTGATGATGGCTATTGAAACAGGGGTGAGGTGGAATCTTAGTGTGGTTTTGATTTGCATTTCTTTTATGGCTAGAGGTGGTGAGCATTTTTTCATGTGTTTTTTGGCCATTTGAATTTCTTCTTTTGAGAAAGTTCTGTTTAGTTCACTTGCCCATTTGTTTATTGGTTCATTGATTTTGGGAGAGTTTAGTTTCTTAAGTTCCCTGTATAGTCTGGTTATCAGTCCTTTGTCTGATGTATAGCTGGCAAATATTTTCTCCACCCTGTGGGTGTTCTCTTCAGTTTAGAGACCATTTCTTTTATTGTGCAGAGCTTTTTAATTTTATGAAGTCCCATTTGTCCATTCTTTCTCTTAGTTGCTGGGCTGCTTGGGTTCTACTGAGGAAGTCCTTGCCTATACCTATTAGTTCCAGAGTGTTTCCTGCTCCTTCCTGTACTAACTTTAGAGTTTCAGGTCTGATATTAAGGTCCTTGATCCATTTTGAATTGCTACTAGTACAGGGTGATAAACATGTATCTAGTTTCAGTTTTTTGCAGATAACCACTTTTCCCAGCAACATTTGTTGAAGAAGCAGTCTTTTCTCCATCACATATTTTTGGCAACTTTGTCAAAAATAACGTGAGTATAGTTGTGTAGATTCATATCCGGGTCCTCTATTCTGTGCCACTGGTCTTCATGTCTGTTTTTGTGCCAGTACCATCCTGTTTTTATTGCTATTGCTTTGTAATATAGTTTGAAGTCGGATATTGTGATACTTCCAGCATTGCTCTTTTTACTGAGTATTTACTGCTTGTTTTGGATTTGCTTGTTCTTGTTTTTCTAGGAGTTTGAAACATAGCATTAGGTCATTGATTTTAGATATTTCTATCCTTTTAATATATGCACTCATGGCTATAAATTTTCCTCTTAGGACTACCTTTGCTGTGTCCCATAAGTTCTAGTAGGTCATGTTTTCATTTTCATTAACTTCCAGGAATCTTAATTTCTTCTTTTATTTCATCAATGACCCATTGATCATTGAGCAATGTGTTGTTCAGCTTCTAATTGTTTGCATGTTTTCTACTGTTGTTTTTGTTGTTGAGTTCTAGTTTTAATGCATTGTGATCAAATAGAATGCATGGGATTATTTCTATTTTCTTATAATTGCTGAGGCTTGCTTTGTACCCTAAGATATAATCAATTTTGGAGAAAATTCCATGGGCTGCTGAGAAGAATGTATATTGTGTGGAAGTTGGATGAAATATTCTGTAGACATCAACTAGGTCCATTAGATATATGGTGTGATTTAGTTCTAGAATTTCTTCATTGATTTTTTGTTTGGATGACCTATCTATTGGTAATAAGGGAGTATTAAAGTCTCCCACTACCACTGTGTTGAAGACTATATATGCTTTTAGGTCCTTCAGAATATGTTTGATGAAATTGGGTGTATTGAGGTTGAGTGCAGATAGATTGATAATTGTTGTTTCCTTTTGGTGTATTTCTCCTTTTATTAGCATGGCGTGTCCTTCTTTATCTCGTTTGATCAGTGTAAGTTTGAAGTCTACTTTGTCCAAGATAAGTATTGCTACCCCTGCCTGTTTTCGAGGGCCATTGGGTTGGTAAATCTTCCAGCCTTTCACCCTCAGCCAGTGCTTACTTCTGTCAATGAGGTGGGTCTCCTGTAGGCAGCAGATTGTTGGATCTTCCTTTTTAATCCAGTTTGACAAACAGTGTCTTTTGATGGGGGAATTAAGTCCATTAACATGTTAGTATTGATAGGTATGTGGTGATTCCTGTCATTTAGTTGTCTTTGTTGTTTAAGGGTTTGATTGTGTGCAGCTAAATCAATGTTACTCTCTGATTCCTTGTCTTTTCTTCTCCCGTGGTTTGTTACCGCCTGCCCTTTCATGGATTTTTTTGGCTTTCACTTTCTGTGTGCAGAATTCCTTGAAGAATCTTTTGTAGTGGTGGCTTGGTTGTCATATATTGTTTTTGTTTCTGCATATCGTGGAAGACTTTTATTGCTCCATCTATTTTGAATGATAGTTTTGCTGGATAGCATATCCTAGGGTGGAAATTCTTTTCATTCAGTGCCGGGAATACCTCACTCATGCTCTTCTTGCTTTTAATGTTTCTGTTGAAAAATCTGCTGTGATTTTGATGGGTTTACCTTTGTATGTTATTTGTTTTTTCTCTCTTACAGGCTTCAATATTCTTTCTCTGTTCTCTGTGCTTGTTGTTTTAATGATGATATGTCGTGGAATAGTTCTATTTTGGTCAAGTCTGTTTGGTGTCCTGGAGGCTTCCTGTACCTGAATGGGCATAGTTTTCTCTAGATTTGGGAAATTTTCTGTTATTATTTTGTTGAATATATTACAAATCCATTTTGCTTACCCCTCTTCTCCTTCGTCAATGCCCAAGATTCTCAGTTTTGGTCTTTTGATGGAGTCAGTGAGTTCTTGCATATTCCTTTCACAGGACTTGAGTTGTCTAATAGTTCTTCAGTTTTTCCTTTAATTACAACTTCATCTGGCTGGCAGGCGGGCAGTGGGCCAATAGGTAGGCAGCGCCCTGCCTTTTCTTTCAGTGCATCATGACATGGCGAAGCCTTCTACGGATTAGGGGGTGCAGGGTCAAAGCTTCAGCTCTCCCTGGTGCTTTACCTCAGCCAAGCATGTCTCCAGCATCTCAGCAAGGTCCCTGATTCCCAGAGCTCATGCAGTCTGCGTCTGTGTCCCATTCGCCATTTTGGATCCTCATTCTGTAAGCATTCATCAATTTCAGTCCTTCAATATTTGGAAGAAGTGAAGTCAGGCATAAAATGTCAATCCCTTAAGAATTTGGAGGAAAATTCTCAAGCCTCTGAGGAAGGGTTAGAAGCTCCACCCAGCCTTTACCTCTTAGCTGGTACTTCTTAGCCGGCACAAGGAGAAGCACTGCATAAAGAAGCTGGAAACAGGATGTTCTTCCTCCTCCCTGCAGTATCTTCCTCCCTCACTGCTGCCCAGTCATAAAGGCTCCTCTTTTCTTTTTTTTGTAAGTAAATAAAGTGTTATTTGTATGCATTAGATCAAACAATCCACTAAAGATTTTTTAAAGTTTAATCACATGTTTAAGCTGGTCTTACTAAAATATTGCTTGTTTTATTTCAGATAAATGAAGAAACCCAAGAATACATATTAAACCTTTTCCAACGCTATGTGGATGAAGGGTTACATTTTATCAATAAAAAGTGCAGCCAAGCAATCCCACAAGTGGACATCAGCAAAGTTACTACACTCTGTTACTTATTGGAGTCTTTACTGCTTGGCAAAGATGGAGTTAACTTGGCAATGGTATGAAGGGTTTTCTTACTGCTGTGAAGCTAGGAAAATGGGATTATATATAGATTCTTTGCAAATAAGTAATTCCAGTTCTTCTTAAATATGATCATTCAATTTTAAGTTAACTTTTCAGAGAACTAATGGCTATGATTCAATGAACAGATTCTCAAAGTTAAAAAGAATGTTAGTGAGCTATAGTTTATTCCTCTACTCAATTTTCAATTCTCTTGCAGTCTTCAGCACACTCTCAGTACAACATATTCTCAGTCTTCTTAAACACTTTCATGCAGGAATAAAGAGTTATGATAGTTGAAAGACAACTTTAGGCTTTATTTCCTACTTAGGCCTTGCTATCCACTTTTCATCATTATTCCATTTTGTAGATAAGAAAACATCATTCTGTAAACCATTCATGAATCATACACTGTGCACACTTAAGTATGTGTGAGTTTAAATAAAGGAAAAAAGTCTTCAGACTTCACAATTTAGGATTATTCTTCTGTTTATATATAAAATATTAACATAGTTTATCTGTATTCTTTCAGGAGCAAATGAAACTGAACACTTTGATATGTCAGACTTTTGTGTTCTGTTATTTATGGTCTTTGGGTGGAAACTTAACTGAAAACTATTGGGATTCTTTTGATACATTTATTAGAACACAATTCGATGATAATCCAGATGCCAGGGTAAGAACCAAATAAATTTAACATCATAATTTGAATTATTAAAATTAAATTTTAAGATTAAAACTAAGAGCTTTAGTTTACTACAAAAATTAATTACTGAGAGGAGTTTTGTAGATCACTTTTTTCCAACTATATGTAACATTTATTACATTTTTATAATCTAGGAGTCTTTCCCAGCCATATGAAGAAAGTAAGATGTAGGGCCCATAAAAACTCTCTATTATAGATGGATATTGAATTCTAATTCACAAATTTATCTTCACAGTGTGATTGGTAAGCAATATCAGAAACTTAGGGAGGGGGCAGTGCTGGGATTTGAACTCAGGGCTTCATGCTTGCAAGCCAGGTACTCTAACACTTGAGCCATAACTCCAACACTCTTTGCTCTGGTTATTTTGCTTTTTGCCTAGGCCAGCCTGGACCTCAATCCTTCCATTTTAGGCTTCTATCCATCATTGGGATGACAGACACTTGCCACCACATCCAGCTTTTTTCCATTCAGATGGGAACTCACAAATTTTTTTACCCACACTGCCCTGGAACCGTGATCCTCCCAATATCAGTCTCCCAAGTATCTAGGGTTATGACATGAGCCCCTGGAACCCAGCTTGAAACTATTTTCTATATATTCTAAAATTGAACAAATTTGTAATGACAACCAGATTTCTTACTGTTAGACAAGGGATTTTGTCAAAAATACACTAAGATTCCACCCCACTCCTGTTAGAACACCCCCAACAACAATGTTGGCAAGGATGTGGGGAGAAAGGAACCCTTGTACACTACTGATGGTAATGTAAGCTAGTACAACCACTTTGGAAAACAATATAAGTTTTCTTTAAAAACTAAACATAGATCTGCCATCTGATCCAGCAATACCACTCTTAGGGATATACCCAAAGGAATACAATGCAAGTTATTCCAAAGGCATCTGCACACCCATGTTTATTGCACACTATTTATAATAGCCAAACTATGAAACAGCCAAGATGCCCCACTACCAACGAATGGATTAAGAAATGTGGTATTTATACACAATGGAATTCTATTCAGCCATGAAGAAGAATGAAATTTTGTCATTCGCAAGTGAATGGATGGAACTGGAGAACATCATCTTAAGCAAAGTTAGCTAGGTTCAGAAAGCCAAAAATCGCATGTTCTCCCTCATATGTGGATTATAGACCCAATACAAATTCAGTAATATTATTGAACATGGGTCACACACTAAGGGGAGAACGTGCATGAGAGGAATAGGGAAAGGGAAGGAAACCTAAAACTTGAATGTGGTTGATGTGCTCACTGTACAGGAGCAAATAAAGTAATCTTAAGCTGGCAGAGGCCACTATAGGAAGGGGACCAGGAAACAGTGAGGGGGTCTGGCAGAGATTAACCAATGTGGGTTGCAAAACACAAGTACATGGAAGCAATGCTAGGAATCTCTCTGTATAGCTATCTTTATCTCAAACTAGCAAAAACATTATGTCTTTCTTATTATCTCCTATGTTTTCTCTTCAACAAAATCAGAGAACAAGAGAGTGGAACAGGTTCTCCTAAAGTGGGGGTGTGGAGGGAGGAGTGGGGAGGTGGTCCAAACAATGTATACACATATAAGTAAATGTAAAAATGATAAAATAAAAGAAAAAAAAGAGAAGGGATTTTAGAATGCACCTTGTGTTATTGGACTGAAATTGGAGATATCAGTACCCATAAATTTTCAAAATATTAACATACATACATATAATTGTATGAAAATTGTGTATAGAGTTGTCACTCAGTATCCATGGGGGAATCAGTTCCAGGACTCTCCCATGTAACAAAAGTCTGCAGATGCCCAAGTCCCTTACATAAAATGGTGCAGTATTTGCTTGTAACCTACAAACATCCTCCTTTATACTTTAAATGATCTCTAGTTGCTTAAAATGCTTAATTAATATGAAATGCTGAGTGAATAATTATTAGACTATATTGTTTAATAATTATGAGAAAAAAGTTTGTACATATTTAGTACAGATGCAATGTTTTCCAAATGTTTTGGATCTGTGGTTGATTGAATCTGTGGATCCAAAACCTATGGATACAGATGGCCAACCTATGAATACAGATGTCCCTGACTTACAGTGGCTCAACTTACAATTTTTCTCTTTATGATGGCAAAGGTATACCACCCAACCATTCTGTTTTTCCCCTTACAGTAAAGTATTCAATAAATTACATGAGCTATTCAATACTATATATAAAATAGACTTTATATTTGATTATTTTGCCCAACTATAAACTAACATAAGTATTCTGAGTGGGCTAAGCTTAACTATGATATTCAGTACATTAGTTGTATTAAAAGCATTTTCAACTTACAATATTTTCAATTTATGATGGGTTATCAGAATGTAACCCCATCATAAGTTAAGGAGCATAAATATTCAAACAGACATAAATTTCCTAGTTCTGTGTACTGAGAGTAACTAGAAGCAAAAAGTACTTGATTCCAGGACTCCATGGAGCAAGGAAAGTGCAGAATGATCCTAGATCATTTCATGTCAAACAGTAAAGAAATGCTCAAAGAATGATGAGATGCCTCAAAAGTATACAGGAACCAGTCTGAAAAGACTATTGACTGTTCAGGACTGGGTATATCTGAGCATCAAAATAAATGCTGATTGGATAGGATTATAACCTTTTAGAGGAAATAAAAATCTGTGTGATCATGCAAATAAAATTATGCACAACTAAATAAATAAGTAGAGGAGAGAAAAAAAGCTCTTGCTACAACTAATACCCTACTTTGTGAAGAAATAGTGATGGCTAGAGCCAGAAAGTCATCACCTTGCATTTGTTATTATAAAATTGTCTTAGGCAGGAATCCTCAAATTAGTGAGTGAATGTTTGATGAGAAGCAATATTTACATAGCTTCAAAGTATCTCCACAAATTGCTGATTTAGCTGTAAAGATTTAAAAAAAAGTAATATTACTAGAAAAACTTGCATATAGCACCTCAAATGTACAATAAGTTTTAATTTCATTAATATCAGGACACACCTGTGCTTGCCTCCTGGTAAGGTGTACTACAAAAGATACTGCCTTGCTTCTGTGATATTCCTTTAAAACCTTCTTACCTAAGCCTAATCCTGAGGGTTAACCTGGAAAACTCAAACTGATGAACATTTTTATCAGATAATCTAGCTCATATTCTTCAAATATTTCTGTGTCATGAGAGGCAACGAAAGCTATGGAGGTTTTCTGCATGAAAAGAGACTAAAGAAATAACTAGATGCAATGCATGTTCCTGGATTGGATCCTAGACCTGGAAAAAACACAGCTATGAATGATATTATTGGAAAGCCTGACAATATTTGAATATATAAAGTAAGTTAGATATCAGTGTTCAATATCCTGATTTTACTGGCAAAATAAGAAAATATCCTTTTTTTTAGAAAATACACACTCAACTATTAATCAAATATACAACTGACTTTCAGGAAGTATGAGTAAGGTAATAAGGAAGCAAATATGGCAAAATGTGAACAATTAATATAGGAAAAGGCTATATGAGAATCACAACTTTTAGTCAAAACTATATTGTAGATCCTAGCCAGTGTAATAAAGCAAGAAAAAATACATATGCTGGTGGCTCAAACCTATAATCCTAGCTACTCAGGAGGCAGAGATCAGGAGGATCGAAGGTTGAAGCCAGCCGGGGCAAAAAGTTCCATGAGATCCTATCTCAAAAAACCCTTCACAAAAATAGGGCTGGTGGATGGCTCAAGGTGAAGGCCCTGAGTTCAAGTTCCAGTACTGCAAAAAAAGAAAAGAAAAAGAAAGAAAGAAAAAACATACAAACTTTGAAAAGGAAGAAGTAATATCATCATTATTTATGGGAAACAATACTGTATATGTAGAAATCCTTTAAAAATCTAGAAATGAGTTATTAGAATTAATAAATAAAGCTAGGTTTGGTGTCATACACCATAATTTCAACACTCAGAAGTCTCAGGCCAGACAATTGTGAGTTCAAGGCAGCCTGGGTTACATAGCAAAGACCATGTCTCAAAATTTTTTTGATTAAAATTTAAAATAAAAAATAGAATTAATAAATAAGTTAGCAAATCCATTGGCTATAATGTCCACAAAAAGGTTAACAAAAATTTAAAGCAATGCCATTTGTAAGCAACAAGATATCAAATACTTATAAATAAATCTAGTGAAAGAGATAAAAGGGAAACTTCAGCACTGAAAACTACAAAACTTTCCTGAGAGAAACTTTGAAAGATCAAAGTAAATGGAGAGATATACTATGTTCATAGATTAGAATGGGGTTTGAACCCAGGGCCTCACACATGCTAGGCAGGCACTCCACCACTTGAGCCACTCCACCAACTGGTCATAATTTGTCAGCTCTCCTCAATGTATTACAAAGATTCAAGGCAATTCCAATCCCAAAAACCCAAGAGATTTTTTAAGAAATCTGACAAAAAGAACACAAAGTCCTCCAAATGTGTGTTCTTTCTTTATGATTACCTTGGTTATTAAAGTCTTTTGTATTTTCATATGTATTTTAGAATGAGATTGTCAGATTTCTTAAAAAGATCTCTTGAGTTTGAAGTGCTTATGTCCCACATGTAAATAAATTAACCGTCATTGAAGACAGAGGCTGGATGTCATCCAGCACTTGTCCCCAGTATGAAGTTTAGTATGTATGTGCATGGAGTAAGCCCCCAGAAGTTGGATTAAATTTAGAATGCTCACTGGGAAAATAGGTGTATGCATGTAATCCCAGCATTTGGGAGACAGAGGAAGGAAGATGAAAAGTTTGAGGTCAGCCTGAGCTAAGTAGAGTAAGAGGCTAGCCTGGGCTCGACAGCAAGACCTTGTCTCAAAATAAAAATTTTAATGCTTTATAATTCTGATATAGAGCTTTAATATGCTTAATGTTTATTATTCATTGTGTTGCATGACTGTACTTTAAGAATTAGCCTCAGGAATTTAAACAACTACTTCTCTACAGAGAGAAAACAAGTCCAAATCCATTCATGTTCTTTGATTGCCTTTGTTTTCACATGAATATGTGTATTGCCCAGTGAAAGGAGTGCTTGCCTTTAATCTTAGCTTCCCAGTTCTGGTGATCTGTGGAGCATTCACGTGGACTTTGACACCAAACGGATGGATCCCTGGGAGCGGATCATACCTACCTTTAAGTACAGCCAGGATGTTCCATTTTTTGAAATGCTTGTCCCCACAACTGACACAGTCCGCTATGGATACCTAATGGAAAAACTGTTGGCAGTCAGGCATTCAGTGTTGTTTACAGGAATAACTGGAGTTGGCAAGGTAGGAAACCTACATCAAATAAGAAGTTCTGTCCAGAACAGAGGGCATGGTGGACATAGAATTGTCAGCATCGGAAATAACACATTATTTCTCAGAGGAATTTTTGTTCATTTATTGGCTTGGATACTAACCAATAGGGGTTTTGGAATGAAACTAAAACTTTTTACTGATAAAGCGCTAATTAGAATATTTCTTTGGTTCTGATAAATGTAACTAAGTGTAATGTTCAGCAAGAGAATGGCAGATATTTCAGTCTGGATTGAACCTTGCTTCTCCCTTTATTCTGTTTCTTACTCATTGTTCTGGATCATTATTGATATAGGTTATTGAAAAATATTTTATTGAATGTGAAGTCAATTAACATTTTTTTTAATTTTAAGTCTGTTATTGCAAAAGGATTGCTAAATAGAATCCAAGAATCAGCTGGCTATATCCCTGTTTATCTAAATTTTTCTGCCCAAACATCATCTGCAAGGACACAAGAGATCATTGAGTCAAAACTGGAAAGAAAAAGAAAAAATATTCTAGGTAAGAAATTATTCAGAAAGCCAATAATTTGCATAAACAGTGGACATAACAAAGTGACAGTTGAATATTTTCGTCAATGTATTTATAAAGGTGTGTCTTGGTCTGGTTTATGTTGCTATTATAAAATACCTGAGATGGACTTCTTTTTAAGAAGAAAGCTTTACTTAGCTCCCAATTGTGAGGTCCAAGAACATGGTATAAACGTCGGCTTCTGGTGAAGGCCTTATGGTAAATAGCACCACATGGCAGGAACACGTGTAAGAGAGAGAGGTCTCTTGGTGAGAAAGGAAGAAAGAGTAATCTGGGAAAGCCAAGGTTGCTTTGTAACAACCCACTCTTGTGGTAACCAATCCAGTCCTATGAGAACAAGAACTTGCTCCCTCAGGAAATATTAATCCTTCTTAAAGGCCCAACACTGTTGCATGGTTAGATTAAAGGCCCAAGCTTCAACATGGGTTTTGGTGGGGACAAACCATAGTTATACCATAGCAAAGTGTTTCTGTTTTTCCTGTGCTAGATATCTACACATCTTACTGTTAACAGGCAGCATCATCACCTTTAGTCCAGAAAAGCTTCAGTCTCTTCTTTTTTGTGGCTCTCCCTCTCTCCTACTGGGCTCCTCAAATCTGAATTCATTTCCCTTTATGTAAAACCAACAAACCTCTTTATAGCTGGTGCATTATGTTTATGAACTTAGTGAGGAATAAGTATGAAACTATTTGGATTTTTTTTTCTTCAGTCAGTACTTTCAACCAGGTTTTGTTATCTATCTCAGCCCTCCCTTATTAATTACTTACACAAATAGCATTCCTTTCTGGTCACCTTCAGATATTTTGTGCCTGGGCCAATACAAAGCATCAACACAAACCTAATTTAAAGTGTCCCCCCCCCAGTTATAATCCAGGTTTGTGGTTCCAGATACTGGAGGTAGGGGTGCTCTTCAGTCTCCCCTTCCCCAGTCCTCCCTATAGGAGGCTATGATGTGTTGGAGTAGGAAAAAAAGGGAAGGACACATGTCTTCTCCCTCATTGACATTTAAATGGATCTCTCTGTGGATGGTCTCTGCTCTCCAGGCTAGTGAAAAATAGCTATCCATCTCTCCAGCAGGCAGGCTTTCAGGAGCACTCTTGTACAGAACTCCTCAAAGGGAGTCCTCCTGACTCCTGGTCAGACATCAGCCTCCGAGTTGCAATATTCCCTGAAGTTGGAAATCATGGTCTCCACTCAGTCCCATCCTCCAGCAGTGCATCCTTCAGCCTCTTGTTACTGGAGCCACTTGCCCAGCCCACAGCCCTCCTAGATGGGGCACCAACAGGAACTCAGGCTCAGCTGCTTTCTATGTTATCCATCATCCAATAGGTCTAGTTATGCCAACAGTGGCATTGTCAGCTGCCTCACTGCCTCCACTCTGTTCCTTTTATCTTGCTCAGCTAGACACAGGGAAGCAGATGCCAGTCTGTTTTGAATGATTCTGTTAGATCCTTTCTCCCACCCCAGTACCCTGCTTTCTTGGCTTCCAGGGACCAGAGGATGGAGTACAGTCCTTAGTTTGCATCAGTTGCCTTGGAATCACCTCCTATAAATAGATCAATCCCAACCACAAGGATGTGGCTGTTTGCCCATCAGTCTCATGTACTATGTGCCAGAGTAAGTGGAGCCACCCTCTATGATTAAAGTGCTCCCATTGTCTACTATTGCTTATGGTTGTTTATTCTTCTGTTGAATATACCAGCCTAATTTATAGGTAGCATTGTGCAGCTCCACCGTTCTGGATTTCCCCTTGATGTGATTGGGATGCTTTGAATATCAAACTGTTTTCCCTGTGAGGGTGGCATTCTTCTTTTTCCTATGGAAAGAAAATGATCTTCATCCATGTGCAGGCAATACAGTTGGTGAGACGGTGGTATGTCTGGTTCTCACTGAAGAACCGTCATCGTCCTGTGCTCTGAGATAGGACAATGTAGACATCCTGGCCAATTCTACATCTCTTTTCAGGAGTCTGGATGGGCACAAAGAGGTCTCTCCTCCTCAAAATAGAACTCTGCTGGGGCTCTTCTCACTCATGAGAGATGAACTGAGCTCCTTATGACTCTCAAAGTGTCACTGAATCCAAAGCCATACCTAAGCTTTTGTCTTATTCCATTTTTTGTTGCAATAATAAAATGCCTGATACTGGGTAATTCATAAAGAAAATAGATTTCTTTAACTCAAGTCCAGGAGCATGATGTCTACATCTGCTCAACTTCTAGAGAGGGCCTCATTCAGCTTCAATCCATGGTGGAAAGCAGGGGAGTAAGCAGGTACATGCAGAAGACAGAAAAGGTGGGGACATCCAATTCCCATGAGAAAAACATTAATCCATCCCTGAGAGCAAATCCCTCATGATCCCAATGCCTCCTATAGGCTCCACCACTTCTCAACACCATTACTCTGGGGACCAAGCCTCAGCATAAATTTTGGGGGGACAATCATATTCAAACCATAGCATTTTGGTTTTACATTTTCTAAGGGAAAATCATAATTCTTAAATTCATTTTATTTCCCCAGGAGCTCCACGAAACAAAAGAGTTGTGATTTTTGTTGATGATTTAAACATGCCCCGACTAGATCACTATGGCTCTCAGCCTCCAATTGAATTACTTCGGCAGTATCAAGATTTTGGTGGATTTTATGACAGAAACAAACTCTTTTGGAAAGATATACAGGTCACTTTCAGTTTTAAATTACTTGGTGTGTCCAAATTTAGATGGCAAGAAAAAACAGTATATTAGTTTGCTAGGCCTACTTTAACAAAATAACACAGAGTAGGTGGCTTCAACAACCTAATTTCTTATAAGTCTGACATCTAGAAATCCAAGATCAAGATGTCAACAGAATTCATTTTTCCTGAGATCTCCTTCCTTGACATCTTCTCCCCATGTCTGTACATGGGTATGTTAGTCTGTTTTCTGTTGGTAATTAGTTACACAATACTCTAGATGGTTAAGTAATAAATAGGTTTATTTTGGCTCATGGTTCTGACCCAAGGGCAAGAGGCTGTATCTGGTGATAGCCTTCTTGCTGTCAATCCTGGGTAAGTGCAAGACACCCCATGGTGAGACACAGGTATCACTTGTGTGTGTATGTTCTGGTCTCTCTCCCTGTTCCTATAAAATCAGTATTCAATAATGAGGGTTCCAACCTGATGACTTTATCTAACCCTAAGCATGTCCCAAAGGGTCTACTCTTCTTTTCTACCTCACAACGGGGATTAAACTTCAACATGAATTATGGAGAGGGCAAGCCACATTCAAACCATGGCAGTGAGCTTCCCTCTCTTATAAGAGCACCAGTCATATTGAATTAGAACTTACCCTAATTGCATCACTTTAGTTTAATTGCCTCTCTAAATACCCTGTCTCCAAGTGCAGTCACATTTTAATGTACTGGAAATTGGGACTTCAACATATTATTTCTGGGTAGAAGACATAATTTAGCCCATAACATATGGCTTCAATGTTTTTACATGTAACTCACTGCATTCAATCTATATTGAGTTCTTACCATGCCTGATTCAGGAGATAACTGGACAAGAGAGATAGTTCTTGCCTCTCACAGAGCTCAGCTTTGGAGAGTTGGCAGACACTTATAGTGCAAGGTGATGAGTGACAGAGAAAGGCCGGCATGGGAGCTAGGTTGAGGATGAGAGAAGCCTTCCCAAAGAAGGTGATCTGGGAGCAGGATTATAAAGGCAGAGAAAATCAGAGCAAAGAAAAGGAACATTTTACACAACAAAAGCAGGAGTATGAAATACTATGGTGGTATGAAATGTGAGCCCCAGAGCAGCAGGAAATGCAGACGTCACATCCCAGAGGGCTGTGGGCCCCTGAGGAACATGTGTTTATCCTCTAAGAAATGGGCTGCATTTGAAGATGTTCTAGAAAGATCTCCTTAGCTACCAGGGAGGGATGAGCTAAAGAGGAGGCAAGACCAAAGAAACTGCAACATCCAACAGAACAGAAAGGGTCAGAGACTCTTTTTGATTAAGTATGCAACCAGCAGGGTTTAGAAGGCTGATCAGCAGGACTGGTGAATCAGAGGTTGCAGGAAGCCCTGTTTCTGTTCTAGAAAGGGAGCATGTCTGGGATGAGTTACTTTTTCTCACGATAAAACACTGCACAGCACTGTTCTAAATGCTTTCCAATTACTAACTCATTTAACGCTCCCAGCAGCCCTATAAGATAAATAGTGTTGCTAGTCCAAAAGAAAGGAAGACCCAGCCCAAATTCCAGAATTTCCCTGTATGGCTCAAGTGGTAGAGTGCCTGCCTAGCAAGCCCAAGGCCCTGAGTTCAAACCCCAACACCACCAAAAGGAAAGTTCAAGGCCCTGAATTCAGAGTCAAACCACTGTATCACAAAAAAACTATTTAGGCTACTTTTTATAAATACTTCTCTAATCACGCCTTTCTTTTCAATTTTATGGTCATTATCTCAAGCCAAGCCAAGCCCTCTCACAGACATTGAAGCCAACACTATCCACATCTCATAAGGATATTGGGAGAGTTAAGCTGCCACATTGACTGGTCTCCACATACCTGCACCATGCTCCCCATGACCTTTTCAAATGCAGCTCTGATGCTGCCAACCCCTTGTTCAACTTTGAACAACTTACTGAACCATCCAAGACACTGATTTTTTTTTCTGTCCATGAAGGCAGGGTAATAATAGTAATCTCCTTGGGTGGTCATAAGGATTAAGTCGCTTGACGAAAATGTCATAAAAGGCTGGCTCATGGTAGGTCCTAAAAAAAAAAAAATGTAGGTTCTGAGTCCTGCCCTTGGGAAGGAAAGATCTCATCTCTCTTTCTCCATGCAGGACGTAACAATCGTATCGGCATGTGCACCTCCAGGAGGTGGCCGCAACCCTGTGACCCCCCGCTTCATCCGGCATTTCAGCATGCTTTGCCTCCCAATGCCCTCAGAGCATAGTCTAAAACAGATTTTTCAGGTGAGTGTGGATTTAAACTTAGACAAGAGGGAGAAAAGAAAACATATGTTCTAAGACTCCCTCAACCAAAGTCCCCATGTGTTTCTAGAGAGCCCAGCTATCCCTTTCTTGAACACAAAGCATTAACCATGTAGCTAGCAGGTGTTTGCATCATTACCTTCTATATTTGAGGGCTCAAAGATAGCTTTAGGAATGCATAAAGTATATTAAAACATGATCTCTTCCCTTAAGGAAATCTGTGTCATAGCCCTGCCCCTTTAGCACACTGTTCCTTTTTTTTTACATTTGAAAATTTATTCACTCATCAGTATGAAAAAAGTGAAAGAAACTTGATAGGCTGCTATAATTAGATGGGGAGCTATTGATAGGAGAGGGGATAATGGGATAACATTTATTTGAAATCAATTTTATAAGTATAGCACACTGTTCTTAGCAGATCTCATCCACTGCCCAGCCCTCACCTCTGTACACATCTCAAACTTTACCTCCAGGTCTGTGTCTACTTGCACCACTCAAAACTCCAGGGAGCTCCAGTTCAACACATCAAAAACAGAACTCATCGCCTCTCCTACCACCACTACAAACAAATAACCCATATTTCTACCACCTGTACTAATTTCCCTAAGGGGTCACTTTCTTGTTTTTTAAGCAGGAAAAATAATGGCACCTACCCTGTAAGGGCTCTACAGAAGCATTTGATAAATGTAAGATATTGTTTTGAACAGAATGATGAAAGAACATAAAGCAGTATGACTAGATCATGCCATAACAAATCAGCCAAGATCCTAGAGAGCACTTGATCTGAGTCCTAGAGGAAGACCCAAGGAGGAAGATGTCCCAGGGATAGAAGATGCTTTGGTGAGCACAATCACAGAAGCAGGAGGTAGGGCATGGGCATGCAGATAGAAGAAGACAGTTCTAGTGACTGGTCTGGAGAAGCTGACTGTGTCAGTAATTTCTCAGAGATGCGGAATTAAGTGAACCTCCACATTTAGCAACATTGGTGGGGAGCCCTCGTAGAGAAAAGAAAGGGCAGGATCAGCATGTACACAAACTTCAGTACGTGGAGGGGAGGTTTCTACTCACAATGACATAGCGTATATCCATAGGAAATTATTTTGAATAAATATGTAGTAGTTCCAATAAGTTGTTTAGGAGGTAGTGCCAAAGGGATATATAAAAACTTTTGGAGAGTGCTTTAAAATATGAAAGGATGGGAACTTATTGCCTATAATTAAGCACCAAGGCATAATAGGTGCTTAATAGACCAACACATGAAGCAATAACAGGGACCACCACAGCCATTAGAAGGATTTTAAATCCTTTTATAATCTTTATACTGTATTTATACTTTGAAGTTTGAAGTAAGTGATTCCCAGCCATGTTATCCAGACATACTTTTGTGATATAATGAGCATAATAACTTATGCCTGATTAAAAAAATACTGAATTTGCAAAATATTTCACTTCTTAATAAGGTAAGGTAAATTTAGGGTTATACCTACAAAAATTTCATGTTTAGTCACTCCACATTTCTTTTTTTTCCTTTTTCTTTTATTATTCATATGTGCATACAAGGCTTGGTTCATTTCTCCCCCCTGCCCCCACCCCCACTCTACATTTCTTGAGTGAGAAGGAAAAGGTGGAATCCAGGTTTCTGGGAAATAAATTATTCCCAACCCTCTGCCTCTTGTGGGATCATTGTATCATGAGAATGTGTCACTCGTGGGAACATCACCCAACAAGCAAATCACAGATGAAAACAGGCTGGGATGGAGCTGCTTCTTTCCACTGTGACTTTCAGACTTACAATTAAAACTCATACCACCTCATAGGTGGAAATGGAAATAAAATATGGCAAAATCGAGAAATTTGGAGGGGGCCACTGAATGGGACTGGATTCAGGTGGGGACACATATCCCCCAGACAGAATGTTTTGTCTATAAAATAAGAAAACATTTATAGAATAAAAAGATAATAAAAGACCCATGGGTTGCAAGCTTTATGTTCAGTTACAACATATCTAAGCAAGACCCAAAAGTTCATAACCCACCTATCCTATCCTTTGTCATTCTGTGGAAGAGGAAGAACCTCAGGATAACCAAGAACTGAAAAGGAAAATCAGTAAGCTAAAGTAAATTTGCTGTTAGCAACATATATAGTAAATTGATTTATTTATACTGTATAGAAGAAGCCTATGAGTCTGAACAATTTATATACTATATACAAAACATTATATATAATGTGTGTAAGATTTAATCACCTCTTATTTTAAAGCAGTCAGTATTATGACTGTACTTTCTTTGATTACCTATTGCAAGTTAATCCCACAGTACATATATACAAAACCTATCACTAATGAGAAGTCATGGTTTGCACATGTTTAGAATACATATGTTATGGGTGACTTTTTCTTGAACCACAATTCATAACACCTACATGTTTATTTATTGGAAATTCACATACCAAAATATGCATCACCATACATTCTAAGGTTAAACTAAACAGCGTACAGCAAATTAAGCTGATGATGTCACTAAGTTAAGTGTAATTTCTAACTAGAAAGATATTGCAGCAGTAATTGAAAACCATGATCAGTTTCAAAAATATACATACTAATATCATCATACCAAAGCATCCTTCCCCAACTGTGAGAATTCTGGCTATTTTTCTGTGCATATTCTTAGTAAGAATTTTATGAAGTTGTCAAACATGTCACGTAAGCCAAACCTGTAAATAGACTGCCAAGATGTGGTTTTCAGTAACCTCTGTAATCACATGCTAATTTGGGGGGGTTTTTTTCAAGGGAGGCTTCTTGGGTTTTGTTATGCTTGTTTTTTAGATAGGGTCTCACTGTGTAGCCTAGGATCTCTTGATCCTCCTGTCTCAGCCTCCTGGGTGCTATACCCAGTGATACGAGTTTTAATTTATGAATATCAACTTAGTAGCTATTAATTAATTCATTAATTATTTACTGAGCACCTTTCGTATACTAGATGTCAGTGTATCACTATGAACAAAATGGATGCCATTCTGTTCTCATGGGGCTTCTACCATGGAGATAGATAATAATGAATGAGTTATATAAATATATATACAAGTTATATAGACATATACACTAATATATATGCTATTAACTATATTTATGTGACGGAGAATAGACAAACTGGAACCTTTTTCAAATTTATAATGTATACTTTGTGTATGCACATGTATGTGTATATACATGTCTTCATATAATATACACATAAATTCAAACTTTTCTGTTCTCCGTCACATCCTACATCGGGAATTTTTTCATCAACTTTGAAGATTGGGTTTGGGATGCTCCTACTCAAATTACTGGCCAGGTGGAAGATGTTAGGCTCACGTTAGGGACCTAGAAGTGGAGTACCTCAAAAACACAGTCCTCATAAGTTGTAAAAGCTAATATTCAGCAAGAAGTCCACCAAAAACAAATGCTTTTGTTATTCTAAAATATCTTGTATATGAGAACCAAATGTAAAGTCATAAAACTAACTCACATACATTCAGCAGAATGCTTTAACATGCATTCTGATGACTTCTCCCATCACTCATGGGATGGTGATGAGAATTTATTTATTTAAAAAATGAGAAGGATTTTCCTGAGCTACTGTTGGGAGGATATCTCATAAATAGGTGGTGAGTAATGTATGAGATCAGAGAGAGTAATGAAAGAACTCATTTTGGATGGGGAGTTCAGGGAAGATGATATGTAATCTAAAACATGAAGGATGAGAAAGCATCTGTCTAGCAGAAGCTATGAGGATATGTGGATATTGAGAGAGAGGAACAGTGACTATTCCTCCTGAGGAAGGAAGGAACATGGGATGTTAAGGCCAGCATGGCTGGGAAATAGTGAGCAATGGAGAGAGAGGGGAATTGTAAGAAGCCTGAAGAAGATGGACATCGGGAGCTGTGGTAGGATTTGCATGATTAAAGGGAACCAAGAAGGAAGACAAGACTGGAAGCAGAGAGGCCAATGAGCAAAGAAGGCAGGTGAATAAGAGGGAGGCAGAACAGGGTAGTGTAAAGGGAAACTAAATGGATTCAAGACTGATTGTGGGGGACATAGAACGGGAGATGTCAGCACAGACTTCCAAGCCCCTGATATGAATGGAGGAGGCTGGCCCATTAACTGAGATGGGTGTGAGTTGTTAATAGTTACAAGTCACACAAATATACATGAAAACAAAAAGCTATGGGACTGCTGATCATTCACCCTTAAAAAATCAGAGATGGCTTCTGTTCATTTCTAAATGAGTTTGTGTTTTCCTCAATAAGGATCCTCTTGACCCACACTGGGCAAAGGACTAAATTTCTTAAAGGCAGATTCATGGCGAATTCACAGGTTAGGTATGAATTTCACTCAGGCATCCAAATAATCACACAGACAGAAATGAGCCCATTCTTGAGAACATATTATTGAAATGAACAGAAGAGCTTTGACACTCAAGATGTCTTTGTGCTCAAATTTGACTTTGTAGTTATTCTTAGAAAAAGTATCAGATCAAAAGTATCTAAAAGACAAATATTTGGTTGAAAAAAATCTAACCTTCTCATGTTATATTTCTGTTTCTAGGCCATCTTAAATGGCTTCCTGACTGACTTCCCACCAGCTGTAAAGCAAACTGCATCAAACATTGTAGAAGCTTCAGTTGAGATTTATAACCGAATGAGTATTGATCTCCTGCCAACACCCGCCAAGTCCCATTATGTCTTTAACTTGAGGGATTTATCCAAATGTGTGCAAGGTAGTATATTGAACCCTCATTCTCTGACCTGCACCCTCCTTGCATTTCCCTTGGCCCCAAATCACCCAGTAGAATCATATGTACCCAGGTGTTTGTGACTCACCTGAAAATTCCATAGCATGTCCTGTTTAAGTCACCCTCTCTCTCCCCACACCAGGCTGAGCACCACAGCTTTTTCAAACTCCAAACTCCCTTCCCATTTCTCAATATTGTGGTGACACATCTTTAACTGAAATAATAGAAGCAATAAGACCACAGATGCCTCATCTTTAATAGGTCAGAACTGAAAGAAAGCCTTTATGATATACAAATTAAGCCCTTCCCCTTATTTTGTGCATGAGGTCACTAATTTAGCTGCCCCATGATCTGCTTTGTCTCCTGACTTCTATCCAATGCTCTTTGTTCTATACCTCTCTTAATATTTTTTCTCAACAAAAATTCAAACAAACTAACTTATATGTAATATTTGCAAAGTTGCCTAAGTGAAAACTATCAAGCACTTGCATATAAAGTAATGTCTAGGGTCTCTGAAGTCCAGCTCCCTTTTCTGTCCTCATCAAAATCTAATTCATTATCTTTTATGGATTAACAAGGCTGAGAATGAAGTAGAAGATAGTGGCCCAAGGCAGGAGCTGAGACTTGGCTTTGAGAACTTGGACCACCCTACCATCTCATCTTTCACACTCAGTTCTCACCTCAAGTTCCTAAGCTTTTCAACTCCCATTCTCATGGCTCTTTGACTGTGTTTTCTTTTTTCTCCTCCTTCAAAGAGAGAGAGAGTCTGGAGACTCTCAAAGTTAGCACACCATCCTTGCAATAGGATGACACAATGACTTGTTTTCCTCTTTCACCACCACTGAAATCTTACACTCCTATATTACCAGGATAGTCCTAGGACTCATGAACTCATTTTTCATAGAAACATTACAGTATGGCCGTGTTTCTTTAGTGAACTTCTTCAGATTCACTTCCTGGTCCTCAGACATTGTCTAATCTAGTCATTTATTTGTTTTTTATCCTTTCCCACTACTTTTCTATTCCTATTTTTTAGAATAATTTCTGAGCTTCAAAATTGAGGATTGATTTTATCCCTAACAATGATTCCAGGAAATTCTAATTTTTGATATCTTTCACCTTGCTCCCACATTTCATCAAAATATTCTAGAAATTTCCTTATTCCTACAAATATTAACTGAAAATAATTAAAATTTAAGTACCTCAAGAAACATGTATCACAAATACCACAAATGTGATTTTTTTTTAAAAATGTATCATTATTATGTGTAAAAATGCACTCATATTGCAAGGCAGCATAGGACAGTATCTACCATGTTGTATGGTGTGGTGTTTTATGTACCTGTATACCTGGTAGATATACTCCATGCCCTGTCTGCATGGTAGGAGGTGACCCAGGTGAGGGGTCCTTGTGCAAAAGGAACATTTCTAGGCACTGCTAATTATCATTGTTTTCACTGTAACTTGAAAGTATTAAAACAGTGTTGGCAGTAACAATTGATATTAATACAAAAAAAAAGTGCTCAGAATAATTTGAGTAGCATCCAGAAGAGAAAGGGGCATTTGGTGAGGACTGAACACAGGAAGAATAAGACAGGGAATTGAGTGTTTAGATAATAGTATAAAGCATCAGAAGGACAAAAGTTGTGAGATAAGTATAATACTAATTATTATACAAATAAATGTATAATATATATATGTTTTTAAAGAAATGTAACATTTCTCATTTAATATATTGCAACCCATGTGAGAATGAAAAGAGCATTGCTTATTCTGTAATGCTTGACCACTTCACATGTTCAGTTAAAGAAATATGACAAAACAAACAAAAAATGTTTTTATCACATATTGCTTTTTGTCACATAATGTTTTTGTCCTAGTTTTGCTTTCAAAAAATGAGGATACCATTATTACCTTCATATATATGCTGGAAAACATTCACTTCTGGCAATGTGGAGATAAACATGGACCTAATGATTTCCTAGTTAATTAAATTATTACTGGGTATTCCACAAATGTAGAATTTTCCTTTTTTCTCTCAAAAAACAGGTATCCTTCAGTGTGATCCAGGAACAATAAGAGAAGAAATTCAGATATTTAGACTCTTTTGCCATGAGTGTCAAAGAGTCTTCCATGATCGTTTGATTAATAATGAAGATAAGCACTACTTCCATGTTATTTTGACAGAAATGGCCAGTAAATATAAATTTTTTCAATATCTAAAATGATTTGTATTTTTTCATTAGCATATATTAGTTGTACAGGGAGAGTTCATTGTGTCATTTACATATGTGCTTACAATATATCTTAATTAAATTCATCCCTCCCATCGTTCCCCCCAATCCTCTCTCCCCCATTTTTAGAACAATTTCAATAAGTTGCATTGATTGCATATATAAAGTACATCAACTATCTTTATTTAGCTGTTCTTTAAAAAAACAGAAAAGTAATTTGCTTTCTATAAATGGAAATGAAAATTAGTTCATGAATTTTAGGTATTCATGAGTAATTTACTTTCTTTGGTAGATCAAATATATTAAATATTGTGAAAATTATTTTGCTGAAATTCAGGAAGGCTTAGTATCTTTAATTCAATGTCAAATTTTAAGTAAAAAAAAGAAAAGAGGAGAAACAGCATTTTGTCTAATAGGAAACCCAGATAATTCTAGTGTACTTATTTATTAAATAACTATCTAATATTTACTATATAACAAAAGTTTTAAATGCTTGTTAAATGTTCTTAATCTTAAATCTGGGAAATTATCAACCAAACTAAGGTGTCATGGTGTTAATGCAGCTTTCTCTCAATTTTCACTTACAGCAATTAAGACTTCCAAATATAGTAACAACCAATATTATTCTGTACATCCTATCATTAAAGTACTATATAAGCTTATTATTATATTAAATACTATTTTTTTATTTTTAACAGACAAACACTTTGGAATTGCAATTGACCTGGAATATTTTTTTAAAAAGCCTATCATATTTGGAGATTTCATTAAGGCAAGTATGTTGACTACATTTGATGATTATAAGGCATTTACTGTTTTCTAATCCAGGTTCATCTTCTACAAGATCTTTACATTTGTGAAGATGAAGTCCACCTACAGTCCATTTTTGTAAACAAAGTTTTATCAGAACCCAGCCATACCCACTTATTTGTGTGTTCTTGTACTGCTTTTGCAGTACAAGAACAGAGTGCAATAGAAGAGACAAAGATTGGGTAACCTGCAAAACCTAAAATATTTACTATCTGGTGCTTTAAAGAAAGTTTGTTGACCCCTAATGTAGTGACATTCATTTTGGTAATCATTTGGATCAGGGAGCCATCAGATACCTGGAATCCCATACTGTATTCTTTGTAGTTATTCAGTGCTTGCTCAAATAATCAGTGATTGAAGCTTATTGGTTAACAGAATTGCTCTCTTCATTTCAAGGTAACTCTAATTAGTAGCAAGTTTTTCTTATATTTAATTTCCTTTACATTCATTATAAGTCTGTCCTTCAAATCATATCTACACATGGGCCTTATTTTATGTTCTGGATCCATCTAACTACCTCACCTACATAACAAACTGCCATCTTGTTTTACCAAGTTAACTCTTGTTCTGGGAACACATTCTCCTTGTCTCCAACAGAACAGGGGCCATATCTGTTCTATGTAAGCCCCCAGCTTTCTTCCCAGAGCTAGGTGCCTAGTAGGCTCCCAACCAATGCAGGGTCAGTGATCAATTAACGCATCTTTGTATCAGATGTATGAAGGAGCTCACACTCTGGGAACCCCTTCCAGATAAGTATTACCACCTGACAGAAGAAAAGATAAACAATAATGTGTGAGATATATCTATTTAAATTTATCATTAAAAATTAAATCCAAGGTTTGTTTTCAAAGATTCTGTTTCCTGTGTATTTTTGGTGATAATCAAATGGGAAAACTAAATCAAAGGAAAAGAGCTTGACATTTTTTACATTGCCTGGATATATTTCAGTCAAAGTGAAAGTACCCCAGGGCAGTTGCTATAGCAGAAAAAAAGACTTCTTCAATAGCTTCAAACAGGAACTCAGTTCCCTTTAGTTAACACCTGATTTTTATCCTCAGCAACTTATTTAACTACCCCACCTACATAACAAACTGCCATCTTGTTTTACCAAGTTGGCAAACTTGGTTGCTGCGAAAAAACCACATATCATTCGGGCATGATTGTTTGCAACAATAATAATCTGCCATGCATGTTTTCAAACAGTTAGCTTTTCTAATGTCAATAGCCAAAAGCAAAAGTATGAAATCAGAGTGTAAGATTGTGAGAAAAATTAAAATCCTATTCTAAATCCCTGTATGAATTTTGTTACACACAAAGATGATTGAAATTGCAATTGTACCTCTTGAAGAAGTTAAATGAAATAGGTTTCCCAGATTGTGCATGTTTGTAACATATTTATATGTTATAACTGATCTCAACTTCATTCTTCTCCCATAAATCATCATATAGTTTGGAGCAGATAAGTCTGATCGGGTTTATGAGGATTTGCCCAATACAGAGAAAATTGCAAATGTTCTACAGGACTATCTTGATGATTATAACCTCATAAATCCTAAAGAAGTAAAGTTGGTGTTCTTCCAGGATGCCATAGAACATGTCTCAAGGTATAGTGCTATAAGGTCCCTAGTAGTTATGCAATGATTTTATTTCTTTTGCATTAAAAAGTAAAAATTAAGTGGTAAATAGGTTGCTAGGTGAACTAAAACTTTTAGCAGCTCTCAATGTAATCTAAAATGTATTTTAAATATAAATGCCATGAACTTTCTGTCGAATCTCAGGGATTATTATTTTTTCTAAATGCCACTATTGTTTTTATAGATCCTGTCTTATTACAAAAAAGAATCTGAAGTGATTTATAGAGATACAGGTACAGTGTAATAAGGCAAATTACATTCATATATAAAGGGGGGATTCAAGACTATAGCAGAACAAGTTGAACCCAATCATAAATTTCATCTGCTGATGAATCTGATTCCTACCTACTGCAGGCACCCTTTGAGGAATGTTCCTGACACATTCAACATGAATATCTACAGTTCTTGAAACACACACCACTATGATGTAACTTGTGTCCGTTGGACAATTCTGAGTGTTAAAATGATGTTTCCAAGATGACCTAATATCTGCTTCCTGTGACTTCTATTATCACTTCCATCCTGTGGAAGTCAATGTGCACATAAAACCATGATATGGAGCATCTCACTTAACCATCACAACACCTCTGTTGGCTCAGTATCATATTCTCTTTGCAAATAAGGCTTAGAGAGTGTTCCAGTAGTCTTTTTAGCCACTTCAGCACTTAGCGGCTTCATTTATCACTCTTTGTCATGGCTCCCAGTAGTTCTGTCTTGCAGTTGGGATCTTGGGGTCTTGCTTGCAGTTGCACTCAGACAGCACCTGGAGCCTCTCTGCCTCCATGTAATCTCCACATGGATCTCCATGGCAAGATCAGGGTGTCTGGGCTTCCTACATGGTGACCCAGAACTCCAAAGCAAGTACTTCAATACAGAAATCCAGAAAGAAGTCAAACTGTCCTTTTTTTAAGATTTCAAACTTCTTTATGTTTATAGCATGTAAAATATGAAGCATATAGTTTATTCTAAAGTATGGAATTGATGTGTATGTTAGGAAGCAAAATAAATGAATGTGACTAAACTCACCAAATTAAAGAACTGAATGCTGCCAAAATTGAAAGTTTTCCTTGATCAACCTCATTTTCCCTCTTCCTTAATATTGACAATCATTCTTCTGCATTTTATTTTTCCCTTGCTTTCAATTTTTAGAATACATTTATACCCCTAAATTATATTTCAATAAATCTAATTTTATTTTTGAATATTTTATATGAAATGACATAAACTATAGCTTCTATTTTGCTTGTGTTTTTTTTTAAGAATCATTGTCTTTCTGGGGTTTTTTTTTTTATTGTTGCTCTGGGTAGGGGTATATTGTGGCAGTTACAAAAGTTCTTACGATATATCAAATATATCATACTTGAATTCACCTCCTACATTATTCTCCTTTATCCCCTCCTCATTCCCAGAATAGTTTCAACAGGTATCATTTTTCCGATTATATATGTGTGTTCACAGTATTTGCACCATATTCACCCTTCTACGCCCTTTCTCCACCTCCCCCACACTCTCACTAGTACCAAGCTCCCTAGGCAGCTTTTCTAATGTCAATAGCCTTCTGTCCTCTGATTTTGTAAAAGAAAATAAAAATGACATTTTTGTTTGTTTAAGATAGCTACACAGGATATTTTGTATAAAAATATTTGCATATAAAAATATGCAACATTAAAATATAAATATAGATACAAATTTCTTGTTCAAATTTACACTCTCAACAGCAGTACCTATGATTTCATGTTTCATATCCTTCCTAACACTTTTTATAGTCAGGCCAAATGTCCCTTTTTACTTAACCTTAGAAGTCATATGGCATCAATTATATCATATGCTTTTAGTCAAAGCAGTAATACAGACACATCCAGGCTCATGAGAAGAGAACAGACTCTATTTTGGTTTTTCTTCTATTAGCATATATTAATGTACAAAGGGGTTTCATTGTGATATTTCTATATATGCATATAATGTACTTTTTGATGAGATCAAAGAGCAATGGGAACAGAAACATTGCACTCATTTTTTGGACAATGTAATGTGCTACAGAGAGACTAGGTAAATTTTCCAAATTCCTAAAGCTAGTGAATGACTGACTGGGAAATCACATTTGGTGCTTTGGTTCTAACTCCACTGTAGGTCTCCCCACCCAAAGTGACCCCACACTTTTTCATAACAGCCCCCAAAAGTTGGAAAATTATTTCCCTCATTCTCTGGCTTCATCCTCTGCAGGCAAAATTTGCCTGGATCTTTCATGTTGCTTTCAACATTCTGAGTGCTTTATAATTTTCCAATGTTCACTTAAAAGGTGGCACCCAGACTTGATATCATATTCTGTGGAATAAGCATTGTAAAATATGAGTGAGAATAGGATTTCCCATGACCTACTACTGCTGCAAGATTTTAATGGCATTGTTTTCTTCCCATGTCAACTATGTTTTAGTATTGGTCTTTGTTGAAACTGACAAACCCCCAGGATTTTTTTTCACATAATCCATAAGCAAATAAAGTTTTCTGCCTATCCTACATTTCTGCTCTTTAATTAACTCTAATTTAAAAACTTGTGTTTGCCACAGCTTATATTATAACATACGATATTTGTCACTGAGTTGTCAAGATACCACTTGCTTCCCATCTGTCCCCTGCCAAAATACCCACACACTATCCCCTAACAACTTTTATTTCTATAACTCAGGCAAGATCTAAGCCTGCAAAAAGAAAAAAGTAACAATGGCAGCACTCTCTGGTCTGAGAGACATCCTGGAGATTAGATAGAAGATAGATTTTTTATTATGTATTTATAATATTTTTTACATTCGTAATTAAAAGGTATTTATAGAATGGTGAGGATTTGGTTTTCAGACATCCAAAGGATTGTCATTTAAATAACGATGTAGCCATGTTGTCTTTTTCTCTAGAGAGGCTCAGCAGATAGGAATCATAGAAAGCATAGCTCTACTTATTATAGAGCTTTCTGAGACACCTACTGCTGTTTATCAGTGGAAAGGGCTTCATTATGAATATAAGTTTTGGAGTAACTACTTAAATATCCAATAATTTAGCACAGATAGTATTTCCACTTCTTGGTAATATTTTAGTTTTTTTGATTTTTAGCACAAAATTAACAGGTCAAAGTCTCCCAACTGAAGGAAAAAAATTATTTCAGAGCCTTGTTTTCCAAGAAGGAAAATGTATCAGGCATTTTCTTTCTATCACATGCCCTCAAAGTTGTCACCACACTCCAAGAATGATAGAATGGATCTCTTTATTAAAATAGGAGCCACTAATTAGGGGAGTCATATCTTTCCTACTACATTACATAGAATGTAGCTTGTCTACTACATTTAAGCATTGTTACTGGAGGAGCGGGTAGGGAGTTTACTATTTATTTATGTGTTAATTGCCAGAAAAAATAACATCAGAAGCAAGACAGACCAGTCATTTGTTTCCAAAAAATCTCATAAAATAATCAAACTACTGTGAGTAATAATGTTCATGAAACAAAGAAAACATGACACTTAAAGTGTAACATTTTTAGAATATTCAATATTTCATTCCCTGTAGAGCACTTGTGCACTTTGGAAAAAATAATAGGAAACTATATATCCATTCAGCCCTCAGTTTATACTCACAATAGTAGCTAAAGAGAAACAAGCCCAGATGATCTGTTGTGTCTTCCATTAGCTGTGCATTATGATAGAGACATAGCAATGAAAATGGTGCCTGGGTTTCCTTGTTTACGGAAGAAGTTGGCAAAAGGTTCTGGGGGAAGGAGTCAACAAACCCTTTTGTAAAGGGTCAGATAGGAAATATTTTAGCCAGGTGCAGTGGCTCACATCTGTAATCCCAGCTACATAGAAGGCATAGGTAGGTGGATCATGGTCCCAGGCATAAATAAATAAATAAATAAATAAGGTCCTAACTGAAAAATAAAGAAGACAAAAGGGCTGGGATGTGTGGCTCAAGTGGCAGAGTGCCTGCCTAGTAACAAGAGGCCCTGAGTTCAAACTCCAGTACCACCAAAAAAAAAAAAAATTTAGGCTCTATGGGCCATACAGTCTCTGTTGCAGCTATTCAGTTCTACCACTGCAATGTATAAGAAGATGCAAACAATGATGAATAAGCTTGGCTATGTTTCAATAAAACTTTATTTGTAGACATTAATATTTGAATTTTATATTATTTTCACAAATCATGAAATATTACTCTTCTTTTTATTTTTTAAAAACACTTTAAAAATTTGAAAACCATTCTTAATTCATACGCATTAAAACACATACCCACACAGCAATACACACATATGTACAGTTTGGGGGCAGGATTTAACCCACAGGTCATAATTTGGTGATCCCTGTTCTCAACAGAGCAGTGTTTTCAAGACTTTCAAGGTATGGAAAGAGCAGACCTGCCTCAGAAGGCAACAAATCTGAACATTTGATGGTTACTTCAGAAGATTCTACATAATAGCTCAGAATCTGGGCTTTGTCCTGGAGGAACACTTTTTAAATAGGTCCCTGTAGACTGCCTGTTTTGTGGTTTATGTCCTGCCACCAAAATAACAGAACATTATGTTTAATCAGTGTTGTTTATTTCATAGATTTTTGGTCATTGAGTGTAGATAATTTATGAAACATCTACTATGTGGTCTACATTGCTTTCACAGAGAATTGGTCAGCCCCTCCCACCCCCTCCTCATGATGGAGCTTACATGTGGAAAAAAGTTAGCAATGGTCTCCTCTCATGGGTTACAGTAGCCATCTTGTATGTTCATAATTTTTAAAATAAAGCTACTGTAATTCCAATTTTCTCTAATTATCATCTTCTTGAATAAAAGTAGATAAGTAGATAATCTTTGTAAAAAAATTAATTTAATTAATAAGTAAATTAATTAAGTCTGCTTTTACATTTCTCCCATGATTTCTAGTTTCTGCTGACCCAATCTAAAGTTTTAGACACTAATGATATTTTTCTGAAAAGAAATTATTTTTCCATTTCTATCTTCTGTTGAAGAAAAATTTACCATTCTCTTTTTTATCGTGTGAATGACAGTGTATAGACTCGAGTCTCATACAAACTGGTCATTTTATATCAGCCTCCCCGCTTCTCCCTTCTTGGATTTTTAAATCTCACTAATACTTCTGTAACACCCTCCAGGACTCATTTAGGAAGGCCACCACATGATATCATTCCCTTTCTAACCACTGTCTTGTGAAACGTCATCTTGTAGATTAGATGCCTGTGGCCACCATTATTGGTGCCTTTGGGAGTAATGTGTTATTTCTGCTTTAGATGCTCATAAGACTTTCCAGTTACATCTAAAATGTAGATCTCTCTGATATGTTTATATTAGAGAGACTTCTACTATTTTTAATATTACATAGCGCCTGCAAAATACTTAGTGTTTAGCTTCTCCTTTGGGTCTGTGGGCTCAGCTCCAGGGTTTCTCCTACCATTTGCCATTGTTGTGTCTAGTCTACTTCCTCTTGTCTCTCCTCCTGTAATCACTATTACGGGCCCCCTGGAATCCCATTTGTTCCCTTAGATTTGTCTTCTTTCTCTTCCATTTTCTCTCTCATCACTTTGATACCAATTTGTTTTTTCCCTGGGTTCTGAGTGTATTCCTTCAGCTTGTCCTCTACTTCACTTATTAATTTCCTGCGGTATCCTATTAGTGAGACTCATCTTCCACAGAGGTTTTTAGTTTGGCCGTCAGATATTCCATCACTCTCCAATTTTTCATAAACTCAGATTGTTTTTCCTGCTTCACTCTGAATGCCTAATCTGCTTTCGGGCTTACAGTGCTTTGTTAAATTCTCATTAATGTGAATCAAAAATTTTCTGAAGTTTTGTTGGTATCTAGCAGTGATTGTTCCCATTGACCTCTCCTTCTGAGCTACAGTGCCTTTTCCTTGGTCCAGTCAATTTTCTGCTTGCTCATCCTTATAACCGGGGACCTTGCCAATGCAGTGGTTAACATAAATTGTGACCTAAATCAGGCAGGTTCCCTGACAAAATCCTTTACATTTGGACAAAGGAAGCAGAAATTTTGTTTTATTTTAAATGTACACATCTAAGGCAGAGAGCCACCAGCCTATGGGGAGAAGTTCACCCAATGTGGGATTGAGGTAGCCTGTTCTTTTTCATAGTGTAGCCTTCTGCTCTTCTTGCCACCAGCCTTCTTCTCTGGGGCAGGCGCTCTGAGCAGAAGCCACGTCTGTAAACTTGAATCTTTCTCTGTTTTGCTTCTTACAGGATCGCCCGGATGATACGTCAGGAAAGAGGCAATGCCCTGCTGGTTGGAGTAGGAGGCACAGGAAAGCAGTCTCTCACAAGACTGGCAGCTCATATATGTGGCTACAAATGTTTGCAGATCGAGCTTAGCCGGGGGTATAATTACGATACTTTTCATGAAGACCTGAGGAAGTTGTACAAAATGGCTGGTGTAGATGACAAAAATATGGTCTTCCTTTTCACCGACACCCAGGTACATATTTAAACAGCCCATGTGTAACGGGAAATGTATGATGTTATAATCTAATGTGTGCTTTGAACAGTTTATCAGATGAAGTTCAGAAATTGTTGCCTCTGATAACAGATTTCCTGTACCTTGTAAAAGACTTTTATAGTACATTTTTATTTATTTTACCAAGTTTTCCCCTTTACATTCTAAGTAATTATGATCAAAGGTTAAAGAGAAATTTTTCAACTATTCTTTGAGAGAGAGGGTAAAGATAGCAGAAGGTAATAAATTCTTTTTTTTAGAAGTACAAGTAAAATCAGTTAAGGAAATATGTTTTACCCAGCAAAAGGAAAAAATAAAGGCTATGTTCCAGGCCAAATTAACTCTAAAAGTAAAGTTGCAGCCAATTTAACTGATCTGAATTCAATAACAAAAGATTTTCAACTTTGATTACACTTGTATATTTTAACTTTAGGAAAAGTAGCCTTTCTAGAAATGAGCCAGAGAATAAAAAATGACAGATTTGTTGCATAAATATTTCAAACTTCCTTTTAATTTTTAAAACATTTTGTAAGCAGAATTAACGACAAACACAAAATGGGAAAACATCTTTAATATCTATAAAGGCAATGACTTTGTATCTCATTGGTACTGGATTGTTGACCTGAGTTCATGTCCTAGCAAAGCTGATGATTGAAGACACCGGACCAGGAGTTAATAAAGCAAGTGCAAAGTTTATTGAAAAGATAGCAAAGCTCCTGCGTGGACAGGAGGGGCTTTGGAAAGCTAAAGCCTTAGTATAGCTGAAAAGTCTAGGATGCTAACTGGCTTGGATCCGATTATTCTACCTTAAAACTATATTTGTGATTGGTTGGCACTGAGACAGCTTCTTAAACTCAACCACCTGTCTGTCCCTCTCCTTATCGAATTGAGCATTTTAAGAAGATCTGCACCTCTCATCCTGGCCTTGAAAGTCTGCCCAGCTCTTCCTGGCCTTGGGGCCCACTGCCTACATTGTGCAGTTGCATTTTGTTTTTTTGATAAGGGGTTTGTTATTATTCTGAGAAGCCTGTTGTTTCTCATGTCTCTTTAGATGTCTGCTTTTAAAATGTCTCTCTCATCTAAAATGGAGTCACCTCTGTCATTGCTTCCCTTACATTAGTATAAAAGTATTTATTACAAATGCAAAAGAGAAAGACAAGCACACCTATAAAAGAAATACAAAAGAATAAGAACTTCCTTGCAAAGAAATGTCCAGCCTCACCAATAAGCAAGTAAACTTAAATAAATAAAAATGCTAGTGGTTTGGCCTTAAAATTGACAAAAGTTAAAAAATCATAATATGCAGTGCTAGCAAAGGTGTGAGGAAATCAGCCTGCTCCTTCCTCACAGGGACATTGTCAATTAGCAACATCTTCCTGGAAAATAATTAGCAATAAGTAATTAAACCCCTGAAATTTCTTTTAGATATACTCAGAGCTGCATACAAAGTTGAATGTAAAATATTGTAATATTTTAAATAATAACTTGAAAGAGTCTTAATGTACCATGAGAGAGCCATCATAAGTAAATTCTGGTATAATCACATAATAAAGCACCATGTAGAAATTAAAGATTATATTATAGAAAAATGCACATTAGTATAAAAAATATTATGATATGTTGTTACATCACATTATATGAGCAAAACAGCTACTCTGTAGGCTCTTCAGTTTAATGTTTATCCAAATGTAATGTTCAACTAGAAAACAACTGAGTCATAGACTTGAGTGATTTTTGCTTTCTTAGTTTTGCTTATCTATAGTTTCTAATCATTCTAAAATTAATATATTGCATACTGAATTTTAATATTGCTTTTAAAAAAAATTCATGCAAGTTACATAAAAGGCTCCAAGTATTAAAGCCCCAAAGATAAAGTCATATTGTCTTTGTCCACTTTAAACAAACAAAAAGCTATGGCACTCTGTTGAAAATCTCAGTCAGTCTCAAATGTGCTAGTCATGAGGAGCAAGCATAACCATAAATTGCATGTGTATACATATGCACATGTGTAAAACTACACATTTTCACATAATTGTGAGAAGAAATTGAGAGAAATGAGATATTAGAAATAGAGTTTAATTTATTATTACCAGAAAATACAAAGTAAAAATAAAGTATAGTGAATATGAAGAATATAATTTCTAAACTGAAAGTAATAGTTGCATAGTATAATTTATACTTAATGAAAAATCAAATATTTTTAATACTAGTGAAAATCTACAAAAATTGGTCATATGTAAGGTCTACATAAACTTTCATTAAACTTTTAAAAAAGCCATAAACTACACTGATAACACTCTTTGCCCATGCTTTAATCAAAGGAGAAATTAATGATGTAACTTGGAATTCTGAAGTATTCATATAATGGCCAAAAAAATCAGCCAGGCACCAGTGGCTCATGCCTGTGATCCTAGTTATTTGGGAAGCTGCAATGGAGAGATCTGCAGTTCTAGGCCAGCTAGGCAAATAGTAAATGAGTCCCTTTCTCAACCAATAGCTGGGTGTGGTGTGTGTGCCTGTCATCCCAAACGACTTGGAAGGCTGAGATCAGGACAGTCATGGTTCCAGGCCAGCCCAGGCCAAAAAGTTTGTGAGATCCCATCTCAAAGAAAAAAAAGGTGGGTGTGGTAGTACGTGCCTGTTATCCCAGCAAAGCAGGAACCTTAAAATAAGAGAACTGTGGTCCAGGTCAGCCTGGGTAAAAAGTGAGAGCTTATATCCAAAATGTGGCTCAAGAAGTAGGGTTCCTGCCTCCCAAGCGTGAAGCCCTGAGTTCAAACCCCAGTACTGCCATGAAAAAAAAGTTTTTTAAGTTTAGAGAACAACCAACTTAATATAAATAAAACTAGATTTGAATCAAAAGTTGTAAACAACAAAAAATAATTTACTTAAAATTTGAGAAAAAAATCACAAGGAACCATCAAAACAAATGAGGAAACAATAAAAGCAGAAATAATGAAAATTGAGGCAAAGAGAACTAGTGTTTGTTTTTAGGGAAAATTATCAGGCATAATTACTACCAAATTTATTTGAGAAAAGACAAAAAGTTACAAATGAAAAAATAAGATAGCAGACACCTTGTCAAGGACTCCAACTTCTATATAATTAAAATGCTAACAGAAACAAAAATATTAAATGATAAAATTATTTTAACACTTGCATCAACTATGGGGTAAGAGGTTAGTTTCATAATGTACAAATTATCCCTGCAAATTTAGAAGAAAATTCCAATATGTAAATAGTTGCAAAGTGTGAACAGACTTTTTAATGGAAAGAAATAAATGAGAGATAACATTTTCCCTTGTTAAAAAGCAAAGACATGCAAATTAAATTCTCCCAAAGGAAACATTTATACTCCCCAAATTAACAAAACAAATGTCATACTTAAATTAAATGATAAATAGTAAAATCCATACATTTTAATTGCTAATCTCACTCCTGGGAATTTAGTCCAAGAAAATTATCCAATCTGGGAAAAAAAGATGTGTTTATAATGTAAACAAGACTGCAAATCATCTACATTAATGATAATGTATGGCCAGCCATGTCTATGGTGCATCATGCACCCATGTTTGTGGTTACAAATATGAAGTACTATACAGAAGTGTGGAGTAGCCCAAAGGGGCAGAATACAAAACATTTGCACGTATGACTTGGACCAGGGGAGAGAAAAAGCCCTTTTAAAAGGCAAATAAAAATCAATATAGTTGCTATGTTAGAAGTTAGGAAACCATCTAATTTTTAATATCTCTCTTAAAGATGAAATTAACACATGTGAATTTTAGAATAAATATTTGCTTTATAATTCACATATAACTGTAAAATAATTGAGTTATAATGGTCACTCTGCTTTCTTCTATAGATCGTAGTAGAAGAGTTCCTAGAAGATATAAATAACATCCTGAATTCGGGTGAAGTGCCTAATTTATTTGAAAAGGATGAACTGGAGCAGGTTTTAGCAGCCACCAGACCAAAAGCAAAAGAAGTTGGAATTTCTGAAGGGAACAGAGATGAGGTAGCACATGCCAGAATAGTTACATGGCCTTCTAAACAAAAAGTTACCTTAGCCTTTTACTCAGCAATTCACAGATCCTCTTAAGGGTTCCATGGATAGACTTTTTTCTCAATATACTTAGTTATTTTTTGTAATTCTGTACTTTATTTTCTATGTTTAAAATGTTGGTTCATCAGACTTCCAGTAATAGCCATGGAAGTAGAAATCTGAAACCCTGCTGCCCCCATGGAGGTCATAGCCTTGTCCAAGCTAGCCAGCTTCCCTTATTCTTAGTTTATTTCAAACAATCACAGAGTCTTGCCTGAGGAAGGCTAGTACTTCCTCTCCCCCAGCCCCCAAAACTGGGGCTTGAACACCAGGCCTTGCACTCATCAGGCAAGTGCCCTACCATTTGAGCCACAACCCCAGCCCCTTTGGTTTTAGTTTATTTTTCAGGTAGGATCTCACACTTTTGACTAAGCCAGCCTTGAACCACAATCCTCGTACTTCTGCCTCCTAAGTATCTGGGCTTGCAGGCTGTGACGCCACTACAAATGAGTCTAGTATTTTGGATCTCCTTTCCTATCAGCAAAGTTACACACAGTGAAAGTAGAAATGTATCTTCTCTCACTCATCCAGGACCAGTGTAGCTGCCGTCTACTTCTGTTCTCCAACACCATGATTCCATACATCTATCCTAAGTTTGTCCCTTCTTTCTGCACCTTCTTCAACTTTTTGACTCTTCTTTCTCATATGTTTTCTGTGTCCCTTTGTGAGAATTTCCTCTACTGCTAGGTCAGGGATTATAAATACAGACAGCAAGTCTACTTTAGCTAATGTAAACCCAAAGGGATTTATCAGAGGGATACAGACTCATCAGGATATCAGACTTAACTCCGAGGAATGACTATAAAACAAACACTGGGCAAGTGGGGACATGTCTCAAGTGGAAGAGTACTTTCCTAGCTAAGCATGAGGCCCTTCCTGGCTCAATCCTTAGTACTGCCAAAATGCACACTGTGGAAGTTAACGGTCAAGAGAGCTTGGCAGCCTCTCCCACAACTATACCTGCTGGACCAGGAAGCCGCTAACTAGTCAGCACGCCTCTTCTGCAGCCGCCAGCTCCAAAGCCATGTGTCCTCCTCATGTCAGGAAGCAGGTAAAATAAGGAACCACATCCAAATACAAAATTCCAAGGGCATTACACTTCTGCCAGGGCCTATGCCTGCACTCTGCCTCCTCTCCTACTTGACTTCTGTCCCAAAGCAAAGCCCGCTGAGTATCTCTCCTTTTTCAAGAGGTCTCCTCATATATACTAATAAGGACTGCCTAAATCACAGCCAGAATGCTGGTAGCAAGTCCACAAAATGTCATTTTTCATCTTTCTAGACTGTGTGAAAGAGAGGGGTTGGCATAGATGCTTAACAAAGTGATTCGTTAATCTACTATGCTAACATTTTTATTTAATATTAGTAGCACAAATATGTTAGCCAACGCTTATTTTCATTGCCGATTCATCCTTATTTGAAATTGAAAAATATTGTTCTTTTTGTCAGGTGTTTCAATACTTTATCAGCAGAGTCCGACAGAAGCTGCACATTGTTCTCTGCATGAGCCCAGTTGGGGAGGCTTTTCGTTCCCGATGCCGGATGTTTCCATCCCTTGTCAACTGTTGCACCATTGACTGGTTTGTCCAGGTTGGTGACACCCCAGGACATCTCTTTGAGAAATTAGTTTTAACTGTCTGAGAAAAACTCATGATACTTGCATTAGCTTTAAAGGCTGCTAGCAAGTTACTCATGCAAGAGACAATGGTGACAACATTAGGACAGAGACGAGACAAAATTTACAAAGGAAAAGGAGACCACTGAATTGAGCAGTACAGAAGTTATCAGTGATCTTGATAAGAGCTTTTTCAGTGGATGGCAGAGGAGAGGGTTCAAGAAAGAAGAGGGGAAAGGAATCAGAGACAATGAGTGCAGGCAATTATTTGAGAAGCAAATGAAACCCCTGTCCCCTTTAATGAGAGGAGAGAGCCATTCATTCAGTTCACTAAGCACCAGAGACAGACGTGGGAGTCAATTAGGTGAAAGGAGGGAATAGGTAAGGAAAAGTTTCAGAAAAATACAGCTTTCCTACTTGTCAAACTGCATGTTATTGAAATAAACAGTTTCCAGATTGCCTCTTTATTTACAGTGGCCCAAAGAAGCACTGCTTTCTGTGTCAAGGACATTTTTCTCAACTGTCGACACTGGAAATGATGAATTGAAAGAAAAGCTTTCTCTCATGTGCGTGAAAGTTCACTTGAGTGTCTCCCAAATAGCAGAGCGCTATTATGCAGAGCTCCGCAGGCGGTACTACACAACACCCACCTCCTACCTGGAGCTCATCAATCTTTACCTGTCTATGCTGGATGAAAAAAGGAAGCAGTTAGTTTCAGTAAGCTCAATATTGTCGATAAAAACATGTTTTTTGCTTAAACCCAAAATGTTTTGGAATGAGTGAAAAATCTGTGCACCTGTCTTATCTTCCAGAGTCCTCTTCATCTTGACCTGCAACAGGGACAATGGGGTCTTCCTGGATATTAATATCTTCCTCCTGTCATTTATATAAGTTTCATTAACTCAAGTAGAATGACATGAACAGCATCAGAGTTCAGCAGAGAGCTCATCATCTCTGTAATATTAAATATGGAGGAAAACTTTTTGTTAAGTCATAGAAATGAGGTTTTAGTATTGTAACACGTTTTAATGGTTCCCACTAAAATCAAGGACTTTGGTGTCAGCCAAAGTACAACCCAAGCTCTGCCTCTCATGGTACAGCCTTGAGCACATTATGGAATTTCTGTAAGCTTTAACAGAATATAAACTTTAATTAATATTGTCTAATAAGAATACAAAAATAAAGCTTGAGGAAATGGCTTAAGTGGTAGAGCGCCTGCCTGCCTCCAATCATGAAGCCCTGAGTTCAACTCCCAATACCACCCAAAAAGTGAATTAAATAAATAAAAAAGAAAGAAAAAAAGCTTAAAAGTAACATCTCTAGCTCCCTCTTGGATTGTTGTTGAATTTAAATATGATACTGGTCATGCAACACTTAGATTATGACCTGACACATATGAAGTGCTCGGGAAATAGTGACTGCCATTATACAACATCATCACCATCATCATCATGTTAACATGCCTAAAATTTCAAGCACAGTAAAAATGGAAGCATTTACTATTTAGATATTCAACATGTTTTTCAGAGGATTTTTACCTCATGAAACGCATGCCTTGTAAAATAACATATTTTTGAAATCTGCAAATTTGAACCAAGCTTTCTGACTCACCCTCAAAAACCAGCTCTTCTCAGGTGTCTCCCTGCCACATGATCACTACTGAAAAGTATGGCTCAGATCCACCATCCAGAACTAGATTCAAGGACCCCATCTTTCTGGGCTTTCAGCACTCCTGACCCACCTTGCGCAAACACGATCCCAGAGCTGTGTCCTCCAGTATTCTTCTCTGAGCACGTCCCTCACTCATTCAACATGCTACTGTGAGGAATAAAAATAATGTAATGTGGTCCCTGCCCTGAGCGAGCCACAGTTGAGGGCCATCCCACAGCTGTGGCCAGGGCATATGGATCCAAACACTTCATGGTGAACAGCATGGTCATTTCCTAGAGTTCCAATATCTGAAGAATTCCCAACTTGCAATATGTTCACAACTTGAAGTATTACAAATAGATTTGCTAGTTCTGTAGATGTAAAAATCTAATAGGTGAGTAACAGATGCCAGTAAACTTACAGTTGATAATGCTCTTACAATAGAATTTTTTGTTGTCATTTAGGCACGAGATCGGGTGAAGAATGGTCTCACCAAACTATTAGAAACAAACGTGTTAGTAGATAAAATGAAATTAGATCTTTCAGCTTTAGAACCTGTGCTGTTAGCAAAATCACAAGACGTTGAAGCCATAATGGAAAAATTGGCAGTGGATCAACAAAGTGCAGATCAGGTATGCTACATTACCTGATGATGTGAGTATGAAGACTTTGGTCAGCAATTGATCACTTATCCAGAATGATATATGATCATTTTGCTAAAATAATTAGGTAATAGATTTGGTGATGCTACTTTTTTGCAAATTAGCAAGGTTCTTGGTTTTGGTTTTTGAGATTTTGTTTGTTTCCTTATTTTTTGAGACAGGGTGTCACTATGTAGCCCAGGCTGGCCTTGAAATTGAGATCCTCCTGTTTCAGCCTACCAAATACTGGGATTACAGGTGTGTATCATGATACCTGGTTTAGCATTGTTTTTAAATTGTATACAATCTCTTTACTAAATTCACCTGGTCTGTCCCACAGAATTGGTGCAACTCAGTGAATGGGACAGAAAGAATTGTGAAAAAACTACCTATAAATATAAAGCAGCTATTCCTCTCCTAAGAAGAAATGGCTTGTTATAATAATGCCATTGATACAATATTGTCAACATGCCATGAGATGGACAAAGGAAGAGCATAAAATATAATCTAGCTAATGCCTTTCATCATTGGTCTAATCCAAAGGGCAAACACTACCATTTTTATTGGCTTTGTTTTAAAACATTGCACTTCAAATACAAGTTGAATATTCCTTATTCAAGATGCTTGAGACCAGAAGTATTTTGGATTTTGGATTTTTCCAAATTTTGGAATATTTGCATATATATAATGAGATACTTTGGACACAAAATTCATTTATATTTCATATACACCTTATACAAATGGGCTGAAGGTAATTTTATACAATATTTTTAGTGTGCCTGTGGTTTGACTATGACCTATTACAAGAGGTCGGGGTAGAATTTTCCACTTGTGGAATCATGTTGGCACTGAAAAGCTTTCAGATTTGGGATTTGAAAACTAAAGCTGCTTAACCTGTAATGAGAACACTCAAGCAGTCTTGTTTCAATTATTAGGTCCGTAGTGTTGTACAAGAAGACGAAGCGACAGCAAAAGTGAAAGCTGAAGAAACCCAAGCAATAGCTGACGATGCTCAAAGAGATCTTGAAGAAGCACTACCTGCCCTTGAAGCTGCTAATAAAGCCCTGGATTCCTTGGATAAGGCAGATATATCTGAAATCAGAGTGTTTACAAAGCCCCCAGATTTGGTCATGACTGTAATGGAAGCAATCTCCATTCTCTTGAATGCCAAGTAAGTAATTCAGAATCATTATTACAGAATATCTGGTGAGAATTTTTTGCTGTTTTTCTCCATTTTCATATTTTCATAGATGTCTATTTCTTTTCTTTTCTAACCCACTGATTCTGTTGATGGGTCATTTAACAGATAGACTCAACAAGCATTTTTTCAACATCTACTTTGTGCTAGATTATGAGAGATACAGAGATAAATCTTTTTCCCACAGGCTGCAGGTAGTCTAGTGGGGAGGTGTGACACATTTCTGGAGATGATGCTTAGCTGGAGATTGGGACTGTGGGGAGAATGTGGGGACCTGTGATACTTTGGGATGGGATGGAACTGAGCAGAAGGGCAGTGATTATATCATGAAAGACCTCATATGCTACACACCAAGCAGTTCATATTTCATCTTGAAAACATGTAGCTTTCAAACTTTAACAATACAATTTTTTTCAATAAAAAATATGTTAAAATGAATCTTCTATGTAAAACCAAGAAAAGGGCCTGGAGTACCCCTCCACTGCCAGGTATCCCCACTCACCCTCAGGCTGGCAGCACAGTAGGACCAGAGGTGGGGGGGGGCGGTCTCTGCATGGCACAGATAGAAGAGTCCCCATGAGCAGAGGTGACTGAGAACCATTGGAAATTTTTTTACCTAATCAGATTTTTATAGTAGCAATATGACCAAAGTTCAAAGAGCAAACTTGACCAAAAGATGCTAGAAGACAGTTTTTGTGGTATCACAGCAACAGAGCTTAAAGGTCAAAACCAAGGCAAAGAAGATAAAATGTGAGTACCTACAGCATTTTTCAAATAAAACAACTCTGTTATTTTATAATTCTTTGTCTACCAAATCTAGGTTGTATGGAGCCTTAATCATCTAATTACCTTTCTCCCTGTGACTTAATTGTGTGCCCAAAGTTACCAATTATGGGTATTACAGTACTAAGATTAAAGCTACTAGCCTATTGGGATAATATTATAATGTTCTCTGAGGAATACATCTCTTTTGTTCTTATATTACTTTATTTCAATGCTACTAACTTGTCATGTCTGTCTTTCAGGCCTGATTGGCCAACGGCAAAGCAACTTCTTGGGGACTCTAACTTTCTAAGAAGGCTTTTAGAATATGATAAGGAAAACATAAAGCCTCAGATATTGGCAAAGCTTCAAAAGTATATTAATAATCCTGATTTTCTGCCTGAAAAAGTAGAGAAAGTGTCCAAAGCATGTAAATCCATGTGCATGTGGGTAAGAGCGATGGATTTGTACTCTCGGGTAGTCAAGGAAGTTGAACCAAAGAGACAAAAACTCCGTGCTGCACAGGTACATTACCCAGTGTGATATTTTATAGAATTAGAGGTCATGATCCCCAATCATTCACTCTCTTTGTATAATTCCACTGGGGTCCTATGCAATACAGATAGTGACAATGTTCTTGAAAATTAGCTTTTGTTTTAAAAACAGTAGGCAAAGTTTTTTCAAAAATTTCCTCTAGAATCAGAATTCTTCCCACATAAAAGGAAAATGAATCCTTAGTATATTCACCTGACAAAAGGGAGTCATGTCTGCTACTTTTAATTGTCTGTTAGCTCTAGCATTGCATGGTCTAGGTCTCCATTTGCTAAATGTTCCCAACACCTTATGTGCTATCTAAGGTGTGAAAGTCAGCATAACCAACAATCAGACATGAGGTCCTCAGTCTACATAAGAACAAAGAATGTTTACTTGGTGGAACAGGTTCCCAAAAGAACTGCAGGTGTAGAGCAAGGATAAGTAACATTTGTCTATAAAGATCCAGAGAGTAACTATGTTAAGCATTGTGAGCTACATGGTATCTGTTGCAAGTGCTCAGCTCTGTGGCTGCCCCGACAAAAGTAGCCACGACAATACATAAGTGGATAAGCATTGGAATACAGCCAAGTATACTTCTTTTGATTTTTTCCAATCATTACAAATATAAAAACCATTCTTCGCTCACAGAATGTACAAAAAAATCAGCAGACTAGATGTGTTTTCAGATCCCTGATATAGAAAAATTAGTTAGGAAAAATTAGTTTCTACTATGGCACACATATTTAATATTTAAAATTAATCCATGGTAGCAACTAATTTATCTCAACTGCTTGGTACATATGCTACTACAAGTTATTTTTTTTGGATTTTTTTGTCAGTACTGGGATTTGAATTCAGGGCCTTGCACTTGCTACACAGATGATTTATTTTTTGTTTTGTTTGCTTCTGTGCTTATATTTTACTCTACCATATATATTTTAACTTTAATATTATATCTTTTTGTAAACGAGAATATAAATCACATTTTTAAATCACTATTATAAGTAAACAAATCCAACCTTTTGGGAGGGCCTATTCTTTTTTTTATTATTATTCATATGTGCATACAGGGCTTGGGTCATTTCTCCCCCCTGCCCCCACCCCCTCCCTTACCACCCACTCCGCCCCCTCCCTCTCCCCCCTACCCCTCGATACCCAGCAGAAACTATTTTGCCCTTATTTCTAATTTTGTTGTAGAGAGAGTATAAGCAATAATAGGAAGGAATAAGGGGTTTTGCTGGTTGAGATAAGGATAGCTATACAGGGAGTTGACTCACATTAATTTCCTGTGCATGTGTGTTACCTTCTAGGTTAATTCTTTTTGATCTAACTTTTTCTCTAGTTCCTGGTCCCCTTTTCCGATTGACCTCTGTTGCTTTTAAGGTATCTGCTTTAGTTTCTCTGCGTTAAGGGCAACAAATGCTAGCTAATTTTTTAGGTGTCTTACCTATCCTCACCCCTCCCTTGTGTGCTCTCGCTTTTATCATGTGCTCAAAGTCCAATCCCCTTGTTGTGTTTGCCCTTGATCTAATGTCCACATATGAGGGAGAACATATGATTTTTGGTCTTTTGGGCCAGGCTAACCTCACTCAGAATGATGTTCTCCAATTCCATCCATTTACCAGCGAATGATAACATTTCGTTCTTCTTCATGGCTGCATAAAATTCCATTGTGTATAGATACCACATTTTCTTAATCCATTCGTCAGTGGTGGGGCATCTTGGCTGTTTCTATAACTTGGCTATTGTGAATAGTGCCGCAATAAACATGGGTGTGCAGGTGCCTCTGGAGTAACCTGTGTCACAGTCTTTTGGGTATATCCCCAAGAGTGGTGTTGCTGGATCAAATGGTAAATCAATGTCTAGCTTTTTAAGTAGCCTCCAAATTTTTTTCCAGAGTGGTTGTGCTAGTTTACATTCCCACCAACAGTGTAGGAGGGTTCCTTTTTCTGGGGGGCCTATTCTTAAATATTTGATTGATTTTACTAGGCTGAACTTGATATTACACTGGCTACCCTGAAAGAAAAACAAGCATTACTAAGACAAGTGGAAAATCAAATACAGGCTTTACAAGATGAATATGACAGAAGTGTGAATGAAAAAGAAAGTTTAGGTAAGTAACTCATAGAATTTGCATTCATCAGGAAAAGCCTAATTCTCCAAAGTAGGAAGAATTTTCAGGCAGTCAGATCTCAGCTTTCATCTAACATGTAGGACATCTTTCCATTGGACATCCTCCATTAGCCTTCTAGTATCAAATGGGAAGAACTGCATTGTATATATTCAACATCCTATATCTGATTAAGGTTTGTTGACTTGTTCCATTTATAAGTCAAAACAACAGATGAATTTGATCTAGGAAATACATACCACAGAGCCACAGAGAACACTATTTTCAGCCAAAGTGATGGAGCATCAAAAATAGCATTTGGCATGGAAGAGTCAAACCTAGACTTGGTTCTAAAACAGAAAATAACATTGAATTGGTGTGAAGTTTCATAAAGATATATTGATATCATTGGCTAAATAATTCTAATTCTGCTACAAACCAAAGCAGGTGAATAAATTTGTAATATTTTAGGAAAATGCTGAGTAACATAACCTCATGTTCTTAAAATTGTCTAGCAAAGAATATGGCCTTGACAAATGCACGCCTCATTCGTGCTGGTAAACTGACAGCTGCATTAGGAGATGAGCAGGTTCGATGGGAAGAAAGCATACAGAAATCTGAGGAAGAGATAGCCAACATCATCGGGAATGTATTCATAGGAGCAGCTTGTGTGGCTTATTATGGGGCTTTCACAGCCCAGTACAGGCAATCGGTAAGAAAATCTGTTATTCTGTAAAAAGTGGTAAGAAGCAGATGAAAAGAAACTGTAGGGGGTTTTCATTGTCCTGAGTTCAAATGGAGGCTTTCCACAGTTCACCAGTGGAAATTTGTGTATGTATTAAGTATATATTCCCCAGCCTTCCACCTCTTCCATTGGCCAGTGATGGTCTACCCTTAGACTTTCCTTAACATGTTCTTTTCTTTCTTTCTCCTGCCTTAGAAAGCTATTTGTCAGTCCCATAGCACAAGAACCTGGGGGAAGGAAAGACAGTGAGACCCCTACAGAAGTGGCATATAAAATCAGCCAGGATGAAATGTCCTGAGGTGGTGTGACTGCTACAGAGGACTGGAGAATGAAAAGGAGCAGAACATGGGATGAATATGTAGTTTCTAGAGCTTTCATCTTCAATTTAAAAAATAAAACTCATTTGTAAGAGAATAAAAGTTCCATCTACATGTATTTTCCAGAAAACTAGGGTTTTATACTCATTTTGATTAAAAGACTTCCTAAAAAATGTCTTTCCCTCATCCTTGAGTTATGAAACTTGGTATAGTCTAGACTCTGCCGAAGCTCAGGAGTTACCCAGTTCAGCCATGCTTCTCACTGGGCCAATCAGACCTTTCAGTGGAAGGAGGAGGGGAGGCAAACAGTTCTCTGTTGTGCACAACTGCAGTCCTCATGGAGGAAAGTAAGAAACAACATCCCTGTCCCCTATCTACTGATTGTCAGTAGCACCCACAGTCGTTGCGATAACCCCGGACTTCACCACATGCTTCCAGACTCTCCCAAGAAGGGCAATATACATATGTTGTCAAATCACTGTGACAGCCCAATCATTTTCACATGAGAAAATTAAGGTCCAGACAGGAGGAGTGACATGCTCCCACAGTCATAGTTAATGGCATAATTTTAGCACTAGATATCCTGACTTTTAGTTCACTTCTTGTGCTCCATGCTCTGATGCCAGGACTCCCCTGGAGACTGATAGGGCATAGCTGTTTCAGTTCCTAGTTTCCTGTTACTCACCGTATTTTGTGTGTGTCCTCACTCACTAAGCGTTCTTGACTCTGTACATGTAAGTTTTCCTCCTTGTACAGCTTATAGAGTGCTGGATCGCGTACTGCCAGTCTCTGGAGATCCCAATTGATCCTTCCTTCAGTCTCATTAACATTCTTGGAGATCCCTATGAAATAAGGCAGTGGAATGCTGACGGGCTGCCCCGTGACACGATTTCAACAGAAAATGGCATTTTGGTTACTCAGGGGAGACGGTGGCCTTTGATGATTGATCCCCAAGATCAGGTGTGTAACAAATGCTTGCAATAAAGAATAGCTAATTAGCTCTGCTTAATTCTGATCTGCCTGTTAAAAATTATAAAGTAGACGTTAACATAAGTGTAAGATTGTGGAGATTTAGACCTAGAAGACAGTTTAGAAGCCTTCTGGTCTGAGTCTGTCATTTTGTGGCTATAGAAAATAAGAAGGGGCATATTTAAATGCTCTCTATAGTTGATTTTGACTGATTTTCTATTAGTTTTACCATTAGTTTTCTATTTTATGTGGGGACAGAAATTCATCGGTACATAGTCCTTTCTCCTTAAAGGTCTGAGGAGTCAGAATGAAGTCAGGGAATGGTGGATTCAGGGCAAGCCTGTCTGGAATTTACAGAATCCCGTATCTGGCTCCCTAAATTAATGGTTCAGGTTGAACTAAATAGGGACCAGAAGAGGGAGCCACAGTGAAAGCAAGAGAGACAAACCAGAATACCAGAAGTAAGGGCTTTTCCCTTGAGGGCTCTTTCCTTCATCTGTTTTAAATTTGAACAAAAGGAAGGATTCCAAACATTGCTCTTAAAAGGTGTTTTTGTTGGGGAGAGGAGATTCTCATTTTATTTGTCTTTTTTTTTTATGTCTCCAATCTATTTCTAGATTGAACAAAATTTGCAAACTTTATTCTAAAACTTTTACTTTTTAGTCACTTACTAGATTCTAAAACAAATGTCCTTCTCCGTACTTTCTCATACAGGCAAATCGTTGGATAAGAAACAAGGAAAGCAAAAATGGTTTAAAAATCATTAAGCTTACAGATTCTAATTTCTTGCGACTACTTGAAAATTCCATCCGACTTGGTTTACCTGTCTTACTGGAAGAGGTTTGCCTTTTACTTTCTTTTCTCATGTTAACTCCAAATTTTCAGATCCTATCTGGAATAATATACCGGCTACATCTGTGCAATGCTAAACTCCCTTTTTACCCTGGTCGGATAGTTGCTTTGCTCCTTAAACAGCAGTACACTCTCATAGGACTAATTTGTTCATTGAATGAAATTTTCACTTTCAGACACTGTATTGGCGTTAGGAGGGACAGCCTTTACTTTCTGACACTGTAATTCACAGGCTTCATTGTGGACATTAAGCATGAGAAAATTAAAAACAGTAGTATCAGCAGGGACCACTGGCTACATACAGTGATGATATTAAGTCAGAAAGTGGGTATAAACATCATTTTCTACTTGAGTATAAAGTTGGAATTAGATTAAGTGATAGCAATAAGAATGAACTTTTGTTTTAAAAGTGGGAGGGAAGTGATTATTGACTTATGATGCTCCATTTCTTCAGATATCACTCCAAGAATGGGTTTTTTTTTACATTGTTCTCTCATTCAACAAACATTTTAGAACAGATCACAAACAATATAGGTGCGGTTCTTGTCCTCAGTTAGCATATGATTTAGTTGGGGACAAGGACAGTAAACAAAGAAAGATGAAATGAGGGAGAGGGAATGAAAAAGGCTTTGAAGGAACAAGCAGGGTGCAGAGACAGCACCCTAACCTAGAGGAGGTGAGATTCAAGCTGAGACCTCTGTCTGAGCTCAGCCATGTAAAAGAACCAGAAGAGAAGGGCTTCCCAGACAAAAAGAACAGCATGTGAAAAAGCCATGGGCACAGAAGAGAATGATTAATAAACATGCTTTATTTCCCTATTACTATTCTGTTTTTACCAGAGAAGAGTGAGTGAGCAAAAGTATGGGCTGTTGAACTGTTGAGCTATGCCTAGAAGTACCTCTGCTTCTGCACAAAGACAGGATGCTCAGAAAACACAGTGACTGGGAGCAACTTAGCTGCAACCCCTGCATAGTGACTAGGAATAATAATTAATATGTTAGTATTCACTAACATTTGTTGAGTGCTCACTACATTCCAGACTTGGTTCTTAGTATTTTAACTCATTAGTTTCACTTCAACCTCACAAACGAAAGTTTATTCTATTTTTCCAATGAGACAACTAAAGCATAAAGAGGTTAAACTGTCTGAGCAGCCTTGTCTGCCTAGAAAATCCACAGTGAGTTACCCTACTCTTCACTGGAACCACGAAGAGCAAAAGGGGTCTCGATACAGTCAAGCTTTGGCTTCCCCAACATAGCAAAGCCCACCCTTGAACCCTAATGTCACAGGAGAGAAAGGTCTCTGGAAATCTTCAGCACAGTAATTAGCCCCAAGCTGAGTTCTTGAATCCAGGTTTACTTTAGGGCATAAGAGGTCCTGAGGGACTTTCCTCTCACATGGCATTACACAACAGACCTTCTACAGTGTTCTGCCCATGGACAGGACAGCCTTTAACTCTTGCGAGTCAGGCCCCCCACCAGCAATAGGATGCTCTTTCTGGGCCTTCCTGGCTCTCTGGGTCTTGGGGGTCATGAGCAGTGCACACCTAGCTGCTTTCTGCATTTGTTTGGATAAAATTTTCAGACTTCATCTCCACCCACTCATGGGTATGAAATCAATTTAGTCTATTTCAATCAGAATTTATTAATGAAATAAAATAGAATTTTTAAAACACAAAATCATATCATGGTTAAGGGTGAATTTTGTCTCATAAACTCTTCCCCCCACCTTTTGTGTGTGTGTGTGTGTGTGTGTGTGTGTGTGTTACTGCGGTTTGAACTCAGGCAGGCACTCTACCACTTTAGTCACTTTGCCAGTCCATTTTCGTGTTGGGTATTTTCAAGATAGGGTCTTGCAAACTATTTCCTGGGGCAGGGAAGGTGCTTCAAACTGCGATCCTCCTGATCTCTGCTTCCTGAGTAGCTAGAATTACAGGAGTGAGCCCCTGGCACCCAGCTCCCCCCTTGGTTTTTTTGAGACAGGGTCTCTCTATGTAACCCACACTGGCCTCAAACTTGAGATCCTCCTGCCTTCTGCTTCCAGAGTATAGAATTACAGGTGTGAACCACCACACCAAGCTTATCTCATAAACTCTTGTTTATATGTGGACATTAGATCAAGGGCAAACACAACAATGGGATTGGACTTTGAGCACATGATAAAAGTGAGAGCACACAAGGGAGGGGTGAGGATAGGTAAGACACCTAAAAAATTAGCTAGCATTTGTTGCCCTTAACGCAGAGAAACTAAAGCAGATACTTTAAAAGCAACTGAGGCCAATAGGAAAAGGGGACCAGGAACTAGAGAAAAGGTTAGATCAAAAAGAATTAACCTAGAAGGTAACACACACGCACAGGAAATTAATGTGAGTCAACTCCCTATATAGCTATCCTTATCTCAACCAGCAAAAACCCTTGTTCCTTCCTATTATTGCTTATACTCTCTCTACAACAAAATTAGAAATAAGGGCAAAATAGTTTCTGCTGGGTATCGAGGGGGTAGGGGAGAGAGGGAGGGGGCGGAGTGGGTGGTAAGGGTGGGGATGGGGGCAGGGGGGAGAAATGACCCAAGCCTTGTATGCACATATGAATAATAAAATTAAATTAAATTAAAATTAAAAAAAAAGAATTTACATGTGTGGGTGCCATATCACAGTGTGCATGCCCACATTCTAAACAAACAATCATATTAACTTTGAGAAAAAAAAAACATAGCTATCATGCAGAAGAGGGACCCACAAACTGTCTATAAAGAGCCAAATAGTAACTATTTAGGTTTTCTGGCCTCCAACTCTTCTTGTGCATATTCTTCATTTTGTTTTAGTTGGGGGAGGTGTCTGTTTTTATAATGGTTTTAAAAACATGGTAAGAAACCATTCTCCACTCAAGAGTCATATAAAAACAAGTCACAGAAGGTCAGATTTGGTCTATAGGATGTAGGACAACTATAAAAACAAATAGGTCTTCACTCGTTCAGGGACAGCTGAGTCACCCTGCATGGCAGTGCACAATGCACCCAGCTTCTCCTTTCTGAGTTTATTTCCCATGTGGATGAATATGTGTGAGATTAGTGCAAATATGCATATATTGCCTTCGTATGCTCTTCCTTCCTTAGACTATATATTAAAAAAAAATCACTGGAAACACACATTGTTGGACATAGTGTGAAGATATTTATTTATATATGTACTGAAAAAAAGCTCATTCAAAGTAAATTTTGAGGTCCTTTAAGTAATTCTGACAAGTTGATGCCACCTATTTTAATTCTTTATTGTTTGCACTGTTTTGTGTTATTTCTACCTTAAGCTCAAAGAAACCTTGGATCCAGCTCTGGAACCCATTCTTTTGAAACAAATATTCATCAGTGGTGGACGATTACTCATTCGCCTTGGAGACTCAGACATTGATTATGACAAGAACTTTAGGTTCTATATGACATCTAAAATGCCGAATCCCCACTATCTGCCTGAGGTATGGGCTATTACTGTAGAATTCTCAGCCTAACTGGATTACATGTAACAAGCCTCTGAAGTTTGGTGGGTTCGCATCTGGAAAGAACAGACACCAACCTGTGCATTCTCTCTCTTCTGCAGCCCCCTCCCTCCCATGTTCTCCTCTAGCTAGTCCTGATTCTAATTCCAGTATCCTCTTGTGAGCTGTTTGGGACTCAGACCCCAGCCCACTCACTCTCCAGGTCAAGGCCCTGCCTGAAGTCACTGCACATCCCTCCAGTGCTCTCACCACCTCCTTCCTCCAGGCAGCTATGACTCCTCTCCCCCACACACGTCATGCTTTCTGAGAACACCTGGCTTCTTGCCCCCACCTCTTGCCCTGAGTGTTGCTCCAACTGCAGGCACACTACTTACTCTGCAGGCTCTGCTTGGTACATCAGTGCCACCACCAACAAAAAAAACCCTGAATATACTATTCCAAATTAGTTATTGAATGTCTCATAGCTATCTTTCTTCAAGAGATATGTTCAGACTGAATGACATTGACACACTTCTTGGTTACTATGGAGAAGCATCATCAAAAGCCTATATCAGGGTTTTCCTTGTCAGTCCCAAGGAGCTTAATTACACAAGCACTGCCAGGGCTCATCTCCCAAGTTCCCATTTCAGATCTTGGAAAAGTGACCAGTGTGTCCACTTGCAATCTTTGGGTTCTCATTCATTTAGATTTAGAGAGGGAGTGTTGTACACAAGACTAGCCCTAACTTAATTATTCCACCTCTAGGATCCTCAACAGTCAACTCTAACAGGGAAAGAAAGCTTACTTCAAGGACTATTAATTTATGCTAACTGTATGGCATTCAAATGTTCTTTATTTATTGGTTCTTGCTATTGATTTATCAAGTAATGTCAGAATATTGTGATGGTATAGTAATGATTTTCTACAAACAAGTGAGATGAGGTAAAATATGTAAAACTCTGTTACCAACAATAGCTTCTTTTTAACAAAAACATACTATGTACAAGTGACTTTAACTTAATCATTACAACTAAGAAATTTTATTGCCTCATTTAGTCTTCACCACTACCCTAACTTATTTTTATCCCAGTTTTTAAATGTCAGGAACTAAAGCTTGGGCACAGATGAATGACCTATCAATACCATGCATCCAGTAAAAGGATTCATACCCAAGCAGTCGATTGTAAAATATTGCTTCTAACCTTTTTCTAGCTCACCTATCCTTAAAACATCATGTAGGCAGCTATAACTGGGGGGAGGGGAACAAGACTCACACTGGCAGGGAAAATCATATTAGAATTTGACAGCCACATCTTGCTTAGAGTGTGTGGGAGGCAGTATGTGCACAGTCGGACTTGAGGTACATCCTCCTAAGAAAGGATGAGCCATGTTCTGATAAAAACAAAAGGCACTTCTTGATTTACTTGTCTACACTTAACACATTCCTGTGTATTCTGTGCTTGTCATGCAGGTATGCATTAAAGTTACCATCATCAATTTTACTGTAACCAAGTCAGGCCTGGAGGACCAGCTGTTAAGGTAAAAAGAGAGTGTGGACAGGGGGAAGATCATAGTTTTCCTAATGTTTTGTTTAGATTTTGACAAAGAAAAAATTTTAGTATGTAAAAGCATCTCACATGACCCAATCAGAGGTCGAGGCAGAAGGATGGTGAGTTCTAGGCCAGTCCAGGCAAAGTTAGTGAGACCCTGTCTCAAAAACAAAACCTTTAAAAGAGGGGTAATAGGAGCATGAATCAAGTGGTAGAGCACTTATCTAGCATGTACAAGGCACATGGGGCTCAATCCCCAGTACTGAAAAAGAAAAAGTAACTGCCCAAGTTCTTCACCATTGTCACAGTGCTCACAACCACTGAACTGACCTAAGTCTTCTCAAGGAGATCAGAGATTTAGCTGAAGTCCTACCCACCATTTGGGCTGAGCTGGCACCCAACCCCCTCTTCCCCTCAATAGCAAGTGAATGAAGTCAGTCTTTCTGTTGCTCCTAGAAACTCACTGCTCCACATCTGTGAAAAAATAGAACTCCAAATATACTTTGTGTACTTCCACTGGTCTTTACATTGTTACTGTACTTAATTGTGTCTACATTTACCTACTTCACAAAAATGAATATCCTCCATTGGCATATTCTGTATGTGATTAAATCCCCATTTCCCAAAAATGGGATTATGAATTTTTAATATTAATGATTGATTGAAATGTCATTCATTATGTAGCACATGACTTTATTTAACCCCCATACACACACATATATGCATATGTGAATATATATGTGTGTTTATTAAACTCCAAAGGAAAACATAATTTGGACACATATTCAAAAAATATATACCTTATGTTCAAGTCAAGATCATCCTGACTTGCACCTGCTATCACTATTAAACCAAGACACAATTTTCTTTTTTCTCTTAGGAATTATTCTGCCAGCTACTAACTTGCTTAGGTTCTGCCAGGTTAAATTCTTTCCAATTAAAGGGCATTTCACTGTATTTTATGAATGTATTCTAAAGGCATGGCTAAGCATTTTACATACCAGTTTATTCCTATGAATAGCTAAGCTTATCAATGTCACTAAGCTGTCAGACTGCCTGGGACAAAGAGACATACTGCATGAGAACAAAGCACTGTGGAAATCAGTCATGGACTTCAAAATCTCCATGCTATTTTTACCCAACTGATGGCATCACAAAAAGGGACCTGACAGTCTGTGGCCTCTGTGAGGACATAGCTTAATCCACCTTCTGACAAGCCTTCCCCTATTTCAGGTGTTCTGCTCTGCTGAGTTCCCCCAAATGCAGCCCTCATTGCAGTTTCCTCCAGGGTCCTCACCATTTTGAACACCACACTTCAGCTCCCTTTTCCTGGAGACTGCTAACCATGCTCTTCAATCCTTCAGATAGGCAGACAGGATGAGGCCCCTTTTCAGTTTCCTGGAATTCCATAAAGCCACCCAGACAGCCCACCTCCTTGCATCTCTCTTCTTTCTTCCAGAAACTCTAAGTCATCCTAGCAGATTTTCTTCTCAGTACCTTTTAACTCTTAACTTGCTTAAATTGATTTATATATTTCTCTAAGCTGTTTCCTGAACTCACCTTTATTTTTAAAAATAAACTCCTCTTTTCTGAAAAAAGTTCTTAAAAAAATTAAATTTGGGGTGATTTCTTATAGTCTTAATAACCTTAAGGTGTCTAAATTCATCATGTCCATAACAAATAATCAATGGATCACGAATATTAAGCATCATTGTGTACCAGTCATAGTGCCCGCTTTGGAGCCAGCCAACCCCAGATAGAAGCCTAGCTCTGTTTCTCACAGCTATGTGACCTCAGGAAATGACCCACTACTGGGGGTGGAACCACAGTATCCACCTCACAGGAGCATTCAAAGTGCTAAAAGAGATAACTCACTTAAAACTCTTAACAGGTGCCTGGTATGGGTGATGCTTAATAAAGATGAGTTCCTGCAAACAGGGCTATGAACAAATTATGAAAGGACAACTGAGGAGAGACTTAAGTTCCCATGACTTTTAAAGGAAGGACCCAGAAGGAAAGGCTCTTTATTTAGATTCAGTCAAGACCTGGTTTGTGGAGGACAAGCTGACTATTTGGCAAGACATGCCATGTTTGGGATGGAAAGGCAGGATCATAAAGATGTCACTCAAAACATATATTATTCATAGAATTCAGAAACAGACTTTTTAGGGGGAGGAGGATAAGAAAGTAATAGAGGGGTGAATATAATCAAAATACATTAGATACATGTATGAAAATATCACAATAAACCCTATCATATAATTTTTAAAATTAAAAAGTGTTTTAAAAGAACATGGTATCAGACTGTAAATACTACTTTGCTGTGTCTTTTATTTAACAATATATCTTTGAGTTTATTCCATGTCTGTGCACAGATAAATATACATTTATAGAAAGTGCTTTAAGAGGATGTATGTCAAATCATGGTTACCTCTAGGAAGACATTAGTTTTAGAGATCGGGCAGATGAAAAGGGACTTTTACTCTATTCATTTTTTCTTTTTTACAAGAATGGATTTATGCATCATTTATGCACATAATAACAAATTTGTATTTTAAGACTTCAAAAAAGAAGTATTTCATAGAGGTGGTGGGATTTTATAATCTCCCATGTCAGTATAAAAAAGAACGTTGTAGGCACCATTTTCAGCTTGGCACAAACAAGGATTACAAATAGAAACTGAACAATTAGAAAGAGGAAGTAGGTTCCCTGAGAGATGAGGAGACACTCTGGGTTCCCTGAGAGATGAGGAGACACTCTGGGAACTGTGGTAGGGTACAGACGTCTGAAACACAAGGTTAAGAATCAGAACTGGCTTATAGTTCCGTGAATAGCCACCATATAACCCAGCACAAGAAAGGGGTTGTGCATTTGAGTTCAGCGAGCAGCATGAATACCCAGCTAAGTAGTTCTCAGAATAAGAACAATTACAGTCAGGGAAAGAAACATAGAAATAGCTTTAGGGCACCAAAGGGCCATAATTCAGGTGTTCCAACTTTGGTTCTAGTGATGTAGTACGACTTGAAAAACCTGAGTTGGAAGAGCAAAGAATCAAACTCATTGTAAGGATCAACACTGATAAAAACCAGTTGAAAAGTATTGAAGAGAAAATCCTGAGAATGCTTTTTCAATCTGAAGGAAATATTCTGGACAATGAAGAACTTATTGATACTCTCCAGGAGTCAAAGGTAAGTGAAATATAAATTTTTACTATTCATAGAAAGTATGTTACTTGGAGTGAGGTATAGTGGCAGATGCCTGTAATCCTAGCACTCAGGACACTGAGGTAGGAGGATCCCAAGTTCAAGGCCAACTTGGGCTACATAACAAGACTGTTTCAAAAAATAAAAAACAAGCAGGTGTGGTGGTTCATGCCTATAATACTAGCTACTCAGGAAGCAGAGATCAAGAAAATAATGGTTCATGACCAGCCTGGACAAAGGGTTCACAAGACCCCATGACAACCAATTAAATAAAAAAAGCTGAGCATGATGGTGCGTGCCTGTCATCCCAACTTCACAGGAAGCATAAATAAAAAGATCAAGTTCCAGGCTATCCTGGGCATAAACATGACACCTATTCAAAAAAACAAAGCACAAAGGGCTTGGGGTGTGGCTCAAGTGGTAAAGTGCCTACTTAGCAAGCACAAGACCCTAACTTCAAACCCCAGTACCCCAAAAAAACAAACAAACGAAGTATGTTACTTCAAAAGTTATAGCCTCAGCCTTTGAGAGGCCTGCAAGGACTTTAAAGCAAGATTGAGGGTCACTTATAGGCTACCAGAGGCATGCATAAATGTGCCTGGCTATCAGGCCTCCTCATCAACCAAAGAAGAGCATAGAAATTGTAGATGACTGCTCGCATCTCTTCTTCATTTGCATTTTTAAGTAAAGAATGCAAGAACTGGGACAAGCTATAAATTGAAAGAACACTTACACATTCATATTGTCACCTCATTCAGAGGTGGAATTAATCTCCTCTTTGGAATGTCTATGCCTCCCTATCAAAACCTCTAATGTAGCACTCGTCTCGGTTTGCTTTTGTCACAGTTATCCAATTACATGTCTTACCTCTTTTGATAGATGATTCAGTTCTATGCAGTGGGAATCTGTAAATGACACATCTTGATATTCCTTCTCCAAGAGTTAGCTGTGGTGTCTGCACACAACTGTTTAGTAGAAATGAGCCCATAGTATGATGAAGCTTTACATCAAACATATAATCCTGCAATGACTTATTTCTCAGATTAAGCCATAATTTAAAAAGTGTATTCAAGGAGAATAGCCTAGAAAATGATTTTTACCAATTACTTAAACAAGGAGCTCATAATGTTCCATTCTTTGCCTTTTATTGATGTCAAAAAAGGTTTACTGGGCTGTGGATGTAGTTTAGTGGTAGACAGCTTGCCTACCATGTTCAGGGGCCTGAGTTTGATCCCCAACATCAGAAAAAAAGGGAAGGGGGATTTACTGCTTTATATCCTGCTAACTTGGTATTGAAACAAACAATTCTGGGGCTCTCATTTCCTTTCACTCTTTTTGCTTGTTTATTCATTGGTCTTTTTATCCTCCTTTCATTTGTTCTTCCTTGCTTTGGTTTTTTAATTTGGGGCAATTGATTATTAACCCATTTATTTTTAATTCTTATTGAAGATTTATATACAAAGTGTACACGAATGAAACATTTATATAAGGTTTGTTGTGTCCAACATCATTCCTGCTTTGGTCCTTCCCTACACACACACACACACACACACACACACACACACACACTCACACACACACATACTATAGCTTTCTTGAGAGAAGCAAACCACTTTTCATGTTGCACATTAACTATCAATACCTCTAACACACACACACACACACACACGCACAAAACCTTCCCCTCCTTAATCTCCCACTGTAGTTCTACCCTGCTTATAGCTGAACAGTACCTGAGGGGAAAGACCTGGCTGCAAGGGTTTAGGAGGCTGAGGAGGGGTGAGCTTACGTTCATTCACCTGATAGCTCTATTTTCAGTATGGTACCTAGTCCTCAACTGTGCTTGGCCTCTTCCCAAAGAAATGCCCTGCCATTACTTCCTACTGTGGGGGGAACTTCTAGCTTTCTGGTGGAGAAGGGACAATCTCCTGGCTGGTGGTGGGAGAGACAACCTGGGAGTCTCCCAAAATTCTTACTTCAGACCCTTCCCACTTTGAGCAGGGATCATTGCTACTAATTCCTGTGCCTCTGAGGAGGATTCTGTTTTATAAATTAGATGAGTTTTCGGCTTTCCCCTTTTGCCAGTTTAGGAATTCATTTTCTACTCTTGTCTGCTCTCTAGCTCCCAACATTTTATTTACTATTCCTACCATTCCTACCATTTTCATGGGTCTGCAATGCTTTTTAAATCCCTGTCATGTATTTTTATCCTGGCCTTAGTAGGGAATGAAGGCAGATGAATGTGCTCTTACTGCCATCTTTATCTGTGAGCTGGTTTCCTTGTTTTCAAGGCACTGCCTCAGAGATATCCTTTCTATAAGAGTAAAGATCTGACTGATTGATCCACTGCCACTTCCTGCCTATAGTTTGTACCCCTTCCAATTCCCAGAATCCCTGTTTTAGCATACGTGTTCTCTAACCACTGCTAAGGCTCCATAAATAGGGCATAATGTCAAGTAGTTGCCAAACCCAATGGAGGTATAGAGTGTTCTAACATCCTCTAACAGAAAAATGGAAAATGGCCCACTTTCCTTTCTCTTCAACCTTAGGTTCTCATTATCAAGGCTTTGTGCTCTGCAAAGAATCAATAATTATTTGCTAGTGGGTCCCCAGGACCCAACTGCTCCCATATCAACTTCCTTTTCCTACTTGTGTGAAAGCTTTAGTTGAGTCTAGTATTAAGATCGGGGGTTCCCACTCAACTCCGCTGTTTTTTACACACACACACACACATTCCTAAGGGGTCATTACAGGGAGAGTTTGCACCTTCCTGGGCACAGCTTCTACACTGAATCCTCCCTCTCCTTTTCCTGTGGGTTGAGGTGGACAGTTTAGATTTACACTCTTCAATGTGGTAGGTAGCCATTAGGCAAATGTGGCTGCTTAGAATGTGGTATCTGAATTAAGATGAGTTGTTAGTATAAAATACCACCAGATTTCAAAGACTTAGATTTAAAAATGTAAGATATATCAGTAATCATATCAATTATATCTTGATACAATATTTGGTTATATTGAGCGAAGCAAAATATATTGTTGAAATTAATTTTACTTGTTTTGATTTAGTTTTAATAAATTTGAAAGTTTGGGTGTTATATGTGGCTCACATTATATTTCTGTTGAAAAGTGCTAGTCGAGACAAAAGCCTGATCGTCCCCATCAGCTCTCCCCTCCATCAAGCCAGTACCAAGAAACCAGATTCCACCATGAATTTTTTATAGTCCTGTCCTAAACCCTTTGATTTTCTCAGACAAAGGATCTTCCAACCTAGGGATATCCACAGTTTTAAAAACAGCATGGGAAAGAGGAAAAGATGAGGCAGGCAAGCAGCAATAGAGAGACTGAGTGACAAAGAGAAGGGAATCTTGGAAAGTCCGTCAGCCAAAAAGCACTCCAGAGCCACAAACCCAAAATATAGAAATCCAAAAGAGCATCAAAGATGTTAAAAATGGCACCATCTCACTTAATTTCATAACCCCACAAAGCATCAGCTTCTATCTGTAGGTTTCCTTAAAAACGGATGGGATTTGGGACCATCTCTGCCCTCTCTATCAGGCATTTCCCTGGGTGTCCTTTCCTTCATTACATGTACCCTGCACTGCTCACAAAGAAGTTAGGGAGTAATTAGGAGTGCTGTGTTTCCTTTTCAGCAGTAATTCAAAGAGAAGTCCTGTTCCAATTTTTTCAGAGCATCTTAAATTGCCCATTTCCCTTCACCCCTTCCTAACTGTGAAAGGAAGGATGATCTGCCCAGTCAGAAGGAGATCACTGAGTCCTGAGAGCTGGTCATTGTATCTGGGGGCTCCCTTGTTAGGATCACCAACTCATTCCATCTTAATTCTTTCCCGGACCTGATTGGATATATTCCAAAATTAATACTTTTTCTCAAACAGATCCCTGAGAACTTGTTGTGTGTTTATTCAGATTACTTCCAGTGCCATTAAAAGAAGGCTGAAAGAAGCAGAGTCTACTGAGCTGATGATCAACGTGGCTCGTGAGAAATATCGCCCAGTAGCCACTCAAGGCTCCGTGATGTACTTTGTCATTGCAAGCCTCTCAGAAATAGATCCTATGTATCAGTACTCACTAAAATATTTTAAGCAGGTAAGTATGTTGCTGCTGTTATTGTTAGTAAGATTCATTTCTTCGGCTTCCCTTTAAACTCTCTTGAAATATTTCATCTTCAGGGGGGAGAAATGACCCAAGCATTGTATGCACATATGAATAATAATAAAAAAATTTAAAAATTATTTTTAAAAATCCACAAAAAAAAAAGAAGAAATATTTCATCTTATCTCTAGTGAATGGGATGTTTTCATCCCTCATTATCTTTGAAGAAGCACTGCAGTATCTACCAAAAGCAAATTCCATGTTACAAAGCTTTGGTAAGCCATATCCATTTTGCTGAAGACTTCTAGGGATCAGAAAGTTTGCAGCACCCAATGCACAACAAAACTCACCAGGTGGCCTCAGTGGGCTCCCCTATTTGCCTCCAGTTGGTCCCAAGTGCCAGTGGCCTCTTCCTTTCAACCCACCCCACTGTTTCTCACCGACTTGGTCTTCCCACCTACCAGTTCCTCCCCTCCTGGCTATGTTGTTCTTTTTTATCAAAAAATAAATAAATTTTAGGAATGAAGATGTGGCTCAATGCTTGCTTAGCATGTACAAGGTCCTGGGTTTGATCCCCAGTACTGCAAAAAAAAAACGTTTTTTTATTTTTTAATTAAATAATCAAATTTTATTGTATATATTTAAGGCATACAATATGATATTATGAGCTACCTAAGGACACTGTAGTGAAGTAAATTAGCACACATCTCATGCAGTTATCCATACTTTTTGTTTTTATGACAAAAGCAGTTAAGATCTACTCATTTAACAGAAATCCTATATAAAATGCAATTTTATGATCTACAGTCCTCAGGTTGCACCTTAGATCACTAGACTTGTCATCTTAGATATCTGCTACTTTGGATCCACTGACCTACCTCTCCCCATTCCCTACCCCCACCCCCACCTACTCTTACTACATATATTGTCCCCTTTTCTGTGTAGAGTTTAATCTAGTCTCCCTTTTCTAATCCTCCATGTTCATACCCATGACACACTGCAGCAAAGGCCTCTGTATATATGTCCTCACACAGAAAACAGTGGTGAATTATAAATGTATCTTCTTTCTTCTGCTGCACATTCAGCCAGTTGATTCCATTTACATTCCCTTGACACCCTGGAGCTTTTGTTTATGGCACTGCCTCTGTTTAGAATGCCCTCCCTCCCAGCATACACACTACCTTCTCTAGCAAAGCCTGCTGCCAGAGCTATATACATCTGGAGATGACCAGGCTGGACATCAAAAATGCCTCACATGACTGGGCTGTTGACCACAGCCCCTATGGTGACCTATCCATGGGGTTTGACCTTCTCACTACAGGCCAAGTAGATTCCAAGAGGGCATCTCCCCAAAGCAAATGGGCAAAGAAACAAAGGCAGTATCTGCAAGGCTTTTGACCTGGCCCTGGATATCACACAACAGCACTCTTGATAGTCTGTTGGTCAAGCAAGTCACTAAGGATAGTCCAGACTTGAGATGAGAAGTAGCAGTCTTTCAGGCAGCATATTTGTGGTAGCCCATGTTGCCTTGTTGGTGGGCCACTCCTGAGCTGCAGTCAGGCCTCCTAGAAGGCAGAACTGAAGCTCACCCATATAGCACATGGTGAGAGTTTCATGAGTGAACAGTCTGTTTCCATCCCTCCATTACATTCAAGCAATTCTTACTGAAATTGAAATATTCAAACGTAATGGTAGAGCAAGCTTGATTTTCTTCTAGAGGTCTTAAGTGGTACTTTTGAGATGACTGGGAGTCCAGCAGCAACTATTGCTGCAGGAGAGAATGGAAGTAGAAAATGGAGAGACATGAGAGTCATGTTTGGACATGCCAGGCTCTCTTCCACAGGAAGTGCATTTGTTTTAGCAACCTTTAAAAGCCATCTGTACCGGGTTAAACCTCAGTTCCTAGAGGCAGATATTTCTGTTACCAAAACTCTGCATCCTTCTTTTAGTAGGTGGATAGAAAGCTAAGCAAAGAAAGGATTATTAAATCCTCTGATGCCACCTACATGACTCTGATAACAACTTTTTTATCCTGGGTATTTGGAATTCGTGTTTATTTTCAAGGTTTTAAAACCTTCAAAAAATAAAAGTGAAGATTGCTGTAAAAATATGTTGGGCAGAGAGAAAAAAGGATATAGGATGAGTTATCAAAGCCCTGGAGTTTTATGGTTTGGAAGGGAAATCAGAAACCCCCAAAATATTTGTAGGTGACATTCATGGCCAGGACATTTTCCACCAAACCCATCCATAATTCCATTTTACACTGAAATTCTTTAGGGCATTTTGAGATTTGTTATGTTTTATTTTGCACCAAACATATCACATCTTTACTGGGCTTTCATCTCTCCATCCTTGTCAAGTTTTTAAAGAAAGCTCAGTCCTCTACTGTCCTTTGTCAACCAAACCTTCAGCGGAATTAACAAGGACTTTCCCAGTTCTCTACAATCACTGTGTTCTTCCTCCATGCCCTTTTAATTTGGGGGAATGAAGACCTACCTTTTGGGGAGGAGACTGACACAGTCAGGCTGATTTCCCTTTCTGCTCCAACCTGTTAGCAGAAAGGTGGCTAAAAGAGAAGCCTACAAAAGTGCAGTACAGTGTTTTCAGGGAGAAGTCAAGTATGCTTCTTGATCTGCCTTGGTCCTCATGTGCCTTCCAACTTCCCATCTGTTTTGATATGTGTGATTCCTCCACGAGCAGCGGGTAGTACCCAGGAATTGAGCAGACAGTACCTCACCTCTCGTCTTTGTCCCCTCAGGCTGTGAATCCTAAGGCTGCAGCCACAAGCCCCTTTGATCCGGGTGGGTCTTCCCCATGGTGTCTGCTACATTTCCCTCACCCTGTGACTTCTGGGCAGATCCACTAATTCAGGCTGTGCTCAGTTGCACATCTTGTAGCCCTAGAATTCAGGGATCCTCCTTTCCTGCTTTTTGGAAGTTGCAGGAAATGGGTAAAGCCACTTCTGACAGATCCATGCCTAATCCCTCAATGCATCACCTCTAGTGCCTACCCACTGTCCTTGTAATGTGGGACACCTTTTGGGGAGGGACCTGTTTCTAAAATTCCCAGACAGAAAATATCCTATAAATTTCTCATATTTCAAGACAACTTCTAGTACATTCTTTCCACACCCTAAAAATTATATTGGGGAAGTATAAGAAGACTTTTTGTCCTTAACAACTCTCATTCTAAAAATGAAGAATTTATCAAATATGAATTGACAGTGGAGAAAAAAACTAGTCCTAGCAGCTCACCTCCATTTTCCAAAGTTTCCTGCCTCACATCAAGTGACACATTTTGAACACTGTCTAGAGTTTGATATTGGTTCATTTCTGGAAAATTGGAGCAGAAGGAAAGCTCAGGAAAAAAAATCACACTTCAATTTGGGACAAGTTCTAGATTTTTTCACAAGACAGTATTCACCTCCTGTGCTGCCATTTGCTCACTGAATATGGGGATGGGGAGAGAGGAGGAACAGGGATTTGTTTTTCTTCACGGAGAATGACTTAATTCAGAGATGCTGTTCTTTCTGTCACACAGTTGTTCAATACAACAATTGAAACTTCAACGAAGACAGATAATCTGCAGCAACGCCTAGACATACTCCTCGAACAAACTCTCCTCACTGCATATATCAATGTTTCCAGGGGACTCTTTGAACAGCACAAACTCATCTACAGCTTTATGCTCTGTGTTGAGATCATGCGTCAGCAAGACACTCTCACTGACGCTGAGTGGAATTTCTTTCTCCGAGGTTCCGCAGGATTGGAAAAGGTACTGTTATGCATTTAGATGGTGAATGTTGCTCCAAACAGAGCCCACTAGCCCCTATCAGTGATCCACAGGGACTGGTGGCTGTGTGGTCCAGTGGAGAGGGAGCCACAGATCAGGAGGCCCAGGTTATAGCTCAGGTCTGCCTCTGGCTCTTGTGAATTTGAGTAACACCTTCCCTCTTTATGCTGCCCCATCCTCACTGCAGAATAAGGATGTCAGGAGTAGCCAGTGAGCTAGTGGATGTGAACATGTTTTGAAAAAGCTAACCATCCAACAAATATGAAGGGTTTTCTCACATAGAGACTCAGAGAAGTTAAAGAACTTCCCAGAGTACACTAATGCATGACAGAATCCAATTCAAACCTGTGTTTAAGTTTCTAAAGCATGTCTCCTCCAGTACCAGCTGCTACTTTTTCATGAACCATGTATTTTGAAAGGAAGTTTAAAATATGCTTTAAATACCATCAAACTCAAAATTTTAAAAATCCAGAAATCATCTTCAGAAACTTCTCAGTTTATTTTTTGTTTTGTTATTGGTTTTGATATATCAACACTTGTTCAACATTTTTATGACCAAAGAAATGCAATAATGAGACAGTAAGTTTAATCTACCAAACTGGAAAAATCATCAAGGAAAAGATTTCCTAGCTTTGATACACTGAGATTGGGTGTGTTAATTTCACTGGCCAATAGCCACCGCAACCTTCGGCAACCACCACCCAGATCAGTCAGTGCCCAACATCAAGACCCTCCACCAGTAAAGAGATGACAGCACTATGCAGGCTTAGGTGATCATTAGTACCTTTTAGCAACAAAGTGTATGAGATTTTTTTTTTTGGTGGTACTGGGGTTTGAACTCAGGACCTTCATGCTTGCTAGGTAGGCGCTTTTACCACTTGAGCCACTCTGCCAGCCCTGAAATAGATGAGATTTGTATCCAATAAATTTGTTTTAAAATTTACCTTGGGCAAATATTCAGGAACTTCTGAAAGAGCTAGTTTTAGTGTGTGGTAATAGCTGTTTCTTCTCTTGAAGAGCTGTTTATATAGAGTGGTACCAGATAGCATATTATAAGTTTCTAGGAATATCTGAAATAATAAATAAGTGCTCCTCACAGCTGAAATGATTTGTGCCTGTCACTTGCCCTGGTACTAGTTTGATCCCCTACTCAGCTTTCCTCACCTGCTAGGTAAGGACATCTGGAAATCCACTTTGGACTCTAGTTAGCTGTAGGAATACTTATGGAGTGAGGGCAGACTGGTGTGGGATGCTGGAAAGAAGCCTGGACGGAGACAGTAGATTTAATTTACTTTTTTTATATTTAAAAATGGTCAATTTTTATTGCCATGTAACATAATTAATTAAATAAGTATATTAAACATCTAGGTTAACCCACACTTCCTTCTTGTTCCAATGCTTTCTCTTTTCATCATACTCACAGTGAAAGAAATTGTAGTACATTTAATTTTAACCCTTCACCAGATCACCTTCGCTTTCTGTTTGGAAGTTTTCATCAGCTACTCTTCTGTGTAGAGGTCCCCTGAAAAACTAACTCAACACCATTTCTATTTCACCATGTCTTATTACTTATTCTAGGAAAATGGTTATTTTAAACATTCTATTAGAGCTCAATTTTTCTCTTAGGCAAGGTGTAAGTGTATTTTGTGGTCATCTTTGTGAATTGTCCCTCATTTTCTTTTTGTCTTCTTACAGGAGCGCCCTCCTAAGCCAGAAGCTCCCTGGTTACTTCCTGCCATGTGGTTTGCATGCTGTGACTTAGAAGAATCATTTCCATTTTTTCAAGGTCTTACCAGAGATATACTGTTACATCCCATTTGTATACACTTAGGTAATATAACAAAAAGGGCCTGCTGTGGGGGATAGGGGAGGTGTAAATAGACTCTTAAATCTAACTTTAATGTCTCTTTTAACCTCTTCTGCAATTACAAGATTTTTCACTATGAAATTTCTTCATTTTTTTAAGAAACTGTGAATTATTTTCACAATTGCTTGTGTTGAATGCTTGGTCCATGAATTCTCAAAGCTTTGTGGTTACTGTTACATCACTTTTAAGGGTATATATTTACCTATTGTTGCTTCCTCCCATAGATTTTTTTAACTTTTTATTGAAGGATAACATACATAGTGGAAAGTGTGTAGATCAGAAGTACAACTTGATTAACTATTACACTTAAAAGCCACCACCCAAATGAAGAGATAGAACAGGACCAACATCTCATCCAATCCCTCCCACTTCTTCACACCTCTTTGCTGTCTTCACTAGAGCTAACAACTTCTCTAAATTATATAAAATATTCTATATTATTTTTCCTATAAGCCTTAATATGTAGCCCTTTCAACTCCAAAAGTACTCTAAATTTTAATTCAAAAGCATTTAGGATTCTGGTGACTATATTTTACTGTTCATAATTCAATTATGAAAATTATATTCATGCTTTGCTTGAAATTGATTCTTTGTAATTATTTAGACCTTTTATTACATCCTGGTGCATGTTCAGGAAAATGCTACATGTGTGTCATTTATTGGGTAGAAGGTTTTATATATGATGTTTAGTTCAAACTTATAAATTATCTCATTTGTTTTATTGATACTTTATCAGATTCTAAGAGAGGAAATTGGCAATTTCCTTTTGTAATTTTGGAATTTTTTTCATTATACCTATGAAATTATGTTATTATCTACAAATAGGTTTGAGACCATTGCCTCCCTAGTAAATAGTTCTTTTTAAAATAATATTCATCTTTATGCTAAATGTATTTTCTAATATTAATATTATTATAGCAAGTTTCTCTTAGCAATCCTCCTTTCTGTATTCATTTCTGCACTCTTATTTCCAATCTTTCTGAGTTATCATGGTTTTTGCTGGGGTCTTTTTGTTTTGAGGAGTGGGAATCTTTTTTTAACAGAAACAGACAGGTTTCAATCCAATACATTTATTATGGTTATTGGTCAATTTCAGTTTTTCTCAAATGGGGAGAATTTTGTCCACTGGAGATGTAATGACTGGAGACATTTTTGTTTGCCACATCTGGGGTGGTGCTACTGGTACCTGCTAGGTAGAGGCCCAAGAGCTGCTAAGCATCCTACAATTCAGTCCTCTACAATAAGTAATCACTTGGTCCAAAGTATCAGTGTTAGTAAGGTCAAGAAACTCTGACCTATTTGTACTTTCTTCTATCATCTATCTCATTCTCAGGGGCTTGAGGGGGGGTACTTTTTCTTTTTCTCTTCTTTCTTGACTTCATCCTCACTCTTTTACTTACACACACACACACACACACACACACACACACACACACACTGACTGATTTGAAACTCCATTCCTATTTTTTCTTACCAATTACTCTTATATTCCCAATATTAATATTTACTTAATGAAGTACACCCAGCAAGTGTGCTGGTTTGGAATCTACATGGACCAGAATTTCTGGGATCCTAATACACTCATTTGATTTCTAAATAAAGACTAGAAAAAAATACTCTTCAATAAATGCATCAAATAAAAAAATATGTTTACATATGTTATGTGCCAGTTAAACAAGACAGCAAGAGGTAACAGTAGAACACCAAAAAGAAAAAGAAAAATACTCATAGGAGAAGCTCAGTTAGGAACAATCCAAAACAGGCAAAGAAAGAGAGGCAGGGTCAAAGTTGAAAAACAAACTAATTTTAGAGACAATCCATCAATTTTTTTTTATAAAAGGTATCATATGTTATCCCTGTCAATTGGCCTAAAATTTCAGCAATTTTTTTAACATTTTCCTGCTTCCATTTGTTAAGATTTATTCCAGAAATCCTACAGAATCATGAAGGCTTGTACATGTGGCTTTTGTATATAGGATGGGTAGTGCTCTAAAAGTGAGATTTAGATCTTAGCAGGTGATGGCCAAGAGTTAATTGCACATTCATCCTTACATTCCTTCACAAAGCTTCCTAAATGCCAGTCTTTTTATTTTATGATATCTATGTGCTTCCTGCTCAATTAATTGAAACTTATTATTTAAAACATGAACTATTTAAATTTGCTAGAGCCCAAGCAGTAACATAATAAATAATAACAACCTCAGGAAAAGTTTTTTTGGAGTTTTTTATTTTGTTTTTGTTTTGTTTGATTTGCAATGAGTGGTTCTGCAAACTGATCCTTGGAAAAATGAAACCACCTTCAACTAAAGACCATATAGTTATCTATATCCCATACAGAAATTAGAACTCTTGCCAAAAAAAAACCCAGGGCCATAGTTTTCATTTTTAAGTGTCATCAGATGCTTATTATTAATCTCTCGGTGAATAGGCTCGACAGAGCAGCTGGACAAAGTGGTTTTCCAGCCTAAAGCCAGCTATTTTATCTAAGTTTCAACATGTGCAACCTGTTTCATTACTACAGGATGCACTGGCAGTGTCAGCTTCCTGAGGCTTAAAGCACACCATGTACCCTATACCTACAGACATTTCTATACAAATTCATACTATATATATTTGCAAACATTTTAAGAGCTAACTAGAATTCTAACCTTCACGTAAGATGCAAGTTTATGTCTTCTATTCTGGGGATAGTGTGGAGGGAGTAATGTCTCGTTTATTAGAGCATAAAGTTGTATACGTGCCAATTTACTCATCTATTGTTTATATCATTCAAATTATACACGCCAGAATTTTCAATGCTTCTTCTGCCATGCTTTTTCTTTTACCCCCAGCAGTGATTATTTGATGTACTCTTATGTGATTATCTGACACATATATGTTCATTTTGTTGTATTCTTTAAGGATATTTACTTTTCTTATAGTACTGGTGATTGTTTCCTGACCTCATTTAAATTCTTGGCTTTTTAATTGAGTAGAGGCAAGATTAATGTATTTACACTTGCAGTTAAAACAGACAGCAAATGTAGAGATTTTTTAAATTGCCAAACATATATATTATATAATTTCAGAGTTAAAACTACACAAATTAAAGTACCTTTTAAAATTGCATTTTCAGGATCTTTTGAGACTTACATTAATCCACAGACATGGGAAGGCTATTCTATACTGAAAGAGCAAGATGAAAAGGAGACTGCACACCAGGATTATTGGAATTCAGGATTAAGTTCTTTCCATAAATTAATTCTCATTAAATGTTGTAAAGAAGAAAAGGTAGGTTTTTTTTAATTAAAGGTCTAGGATATCAATATTTCTATTAACACTCACCAGCCAGTTACGATTCACACATTTGTTCAAGACTAAAAAGGGCCAAATTTGAGTGGTAGCACTAAAAAAAAAATAAATAAACTCTGTTATTAGTAGAGCATTATGTTTTATGTAGAGAATAATGAAAGAAAATAAAAGGCTGGAGAGCCAGCCAGGGACCTACTGTGCCCAGTTAGGGAACTTATGCCATCTGCAAAGTGGGGCAGGGGTCTATTGGAGGCCTCTAACTGAGAATTAGCAACAATGGAGAGAAGGCATTTGAAGGGATCAAAACCATAGTCACCAGACCTATTTGAAAGCTGTCAAAGAAGTCTATGTCTGTTTCTATTTGGGTGCCAGTGGGGATAGCTGCACCAACAACTAAGCAAACATGGAAGGAGAAATGTGTCATACAGACAGAAATATTTCTGAGTCTTCAGTGCCTACCAGTGTCAGAGTGGATAGCAGTCTGCAAGCCAAACTCTGGAGAGAAATGTGAGTTCAAAATAGAGATTTGGGAATCATCAGCACTGAGTTGGGGTAAAACCATTAGGATTGTTGGGAAGAACAGCAATTAGTAGCATAAGAGGTCAGGTGAGCAAAGGGTAAAACTCTGGTGAGCACAGAGGAGGGATGAAGAGCTTTCGAGAAAGAACAGTCACAGAGGCAGGAAGAACACTAGGAGAAAGAAGTATCATGGAAATCACGATATAGAGACACGGAGTTTCAATACAGCAAAAGTTCAATACGATCATTAGAATGAACGAAGCACTGCAGATGATTCCAATTCTTATATATGCAGATATAATCCCCAATTTATTGATAATAAAGGAATAATATTACCTTCTAAAGTTCCAAGAGGCAAGATTCAGGAAGCCCTGAAGGAAAAAGGAGGGATTCAGATGTGATAGGGAGACAGAGAGGGAGAATTAACTGGAACTAACCAGAAACAACCAAAGCATATTTGTGAGGTAGTGATGCAATGTTGTAAGACTTTTGGCCATCTTTGTAGAAACAAAGGGGAAAGGGGGTTAAGGTTGACTTGGGATATAGATGATTGAAATAAAAGGAAAGACAGAAAAGGAAGTTGGACTAGAGGTGGGTAAAACAATTGGAAGGATGAGAAAGTCTGTGATCAAAGACAAGATTAAAATTTCTGATGTGAAACAATTCCAAAAAATGGTAATGTACTGAGGTTGGCCGTGGATATGGGTGTGGAAGAGATGAGATGATTTGCCCTGGAATTAGAGGTCAAGGAACTGTGAGATTGGAGTGTTGAGTGTCCACATGGACCCTGAGATTGTTGTGTGTCACCTCAGGTGGTGGTAAGACAATGCCTGGGACATAGCTGGTAACACTTAACACTTTGTTCAATGGAACAGACATATAATGGAAAGGAAGGCTATGACCAGATAGAATTCTTCAGCAAAAATAGGACAATGGCTACTGGGTTAGACAGCAACAAAAATGAGAGGATGACTAGATGCCATAGATCCTAAAGAAAAAGGAGGTTTATATATTAAGCCAGCCATTAAGGGTAGAAAATTGTAGACTATGAGAAATTTTGCAAGATATATGATCTGGTTTCTTCAACCACACATTTTTTTTGTTTTTCAAAGGGAAAAAGAAAATAAAGGATAAAGTTTTTAGATTAGAAAAAACTTAGGAGATAAATCAACTAATCTTTCTATATAAGTTTTATTTAGATCCTGATCTAACCATGCAGTTATTTAAAGAAGAACACACATTCACATATGTATAATTTAATAAAATAAAGGTGAATGCTGACTATATGTTTAATGATATTTCAGAATTATTGTTAATTTTTTAGATGGCATTATGTTTTTCATAGAGTATTTTTCCTGCTGGACATGGCTTATGCCTGTAATCCAGTTTTTCAGGAGGCAGAGATTGGGGGAATCATGGTTTGAGGTTACCTTGGGCAAAAAGTCCATCTCAATCAATAAAAACTGGGGGCAGTGGTATGCACCTGTCATCTCAACAAGGCAGGAAGCATCAACCAGAGGATCATGGTCCAGGTCAGGCTGGACATAAATGCAAGGTCCCATTCAAAAAATACCTAAAGCAAAAAAATCTGGGGGTAGCTCAGGTGGTAGGGAGCCTACTTGGCAAGCACAAGGCCCTGAGTTCAAACACCAGTACTACAAAAAAAGTATTTGTGCTATAAAAGTATAATGAATTGCTTAAGGATAAAGTGATGTGATACGTGAGCTTTATTTTAAAATAATCTTGAGGGCTTAGGAAATGCATGGATGAATCATTGAAAGAAGACTGGCTTTGCCTTAGTAAATGCTGAAGCTGAGTGAGGAAACAGGTTCATTTATTCTTTCATTTAAGACATATTTAAATTTTTCCATAGTAAAAAACGTTTTAACTCCTAGTCATATCCTTATACAAGTGGACTCTTGCATCATGCCCTAGGACAGCTGTCCAAGTGTGATCAAAGCTACAAATGGTAGACAGTTATGCCAAATTCCAGAAGTAAAATTGAAAATTCCTACTGATGCATTCAACAAAAAGTCTTACCAGTTAATGCTGCCGCATAAAACTTGGTTCACAAATTAATATGGAGGAGACTAGAGCCAAGATTAGGTTTCAGAAATGAAAACCAGACATGTATTCCAGAGAAGTCAAGGATCTGAATCTGCCAAGATCATGGACGGGAGAACCCTGAAAAGAAGATTCAGTAATGACAATGCTTGTGACTTGCAAAAGAAATTTGGGGTTCAAAGAGTAACCCAATACAAATTCAGTTTCAAAACTGAAAGTCTAGGTTCCTATCCAGAGAAAAAGAGTACCTATGGAAGCTTTAGAACAAGGAAAAGACCATAGACTAGAACTCTGTGATGATAGAGTTCAAGGTAGCCAGACTGCTATACCTAGGTCTATTCCCAAGAAGAGCTTGTTGGGTAACAAATGGTCCTACCTGGTGGAGTCAACTGATCCTTTTGAAGAAAGTATATTCCAAGAGATGTGACTTGTGTGAGATATTAGTCTTGCACAAAAATTTAGTCTCCTTCACAAGTAGCATATTTGGACCCAAAAATCTCTTCCTAGTAACCAGGTGATAGGCTCATCACCTACCTGATCAAATTGCATCGGGAAATAGAATGCCTGATCACCCCCAACAATTCTTTTTTGTTTGTTTGTTTAATTGTTTATTTTTTTGTTTTTTGTTTTTTTTCTTTATTCATTTATTCATATGTACATACATTGTTTGGGTCATTTCTCCCCCCTGCTCCCTGCCCCCTCCTTCTCCCCCCATCCCCCTCGCTTCCAGGCAGAACCTATTCTGCCCTTTTCTCCAATTTTGTTGAAGAGAAGACATAAGCAATAATAAGAAGGACAAAGCGTTTTTGCTAGTTGAGATAACGATAGCTATACAGAAAGATTCCTAGCATGGCTTCCATGCACAAGTATATTACAACCTTAATTGATTCATCTCTACCTGACCTCTTCACTACTTCCCTGTCACCTTCCCCATGTTGACCCTCTGTCGTTACTGTATTAGCTCCTCTGCAGTGAGGACATCAGACACTTTCAAGTTTTGGGTTCTAAGTATCCTCTTTCTCCGGTATGTGCTTCCCATTAGCATGTGACCCAAGTCCAACAAACATTGCTGTATTTGCCCTAGATCTAAAGTCCGCATATGAGGGAAAACATACGATTTTTTGGTTCTCTGAGCTGGCTAACTCGCTCAGGATGATGTTCTCCAGTTCTCATCCATTTACCTGCAAATGATAAGAGTTCATTCTTCTTCATGGTGAGTAAAATTCCATTGTGTATAAATAACCCACGTTTTTCTTAATCCATTCATCAGTAGTGGGGCATCTTGGCTGTGTGAATAACGCTGCAATAACATGGGTGTGCAGATGCCTCTGGAGTATCCTGAAGTCACATTCCTTTGGGTATATCCCAGGAGTGGGATTGCTGGATCAGAGGCAGATCTATGTTTAGATTTTTAAGAACGCTTCCATATTTGTTTTCCAGAGTGGTTGCACTAGCTTGCATTCCCACCAACAGTGTACGAGGTTCCTTTTTCCCCCATCCTTGCACAACACCTGTTGGATGGTGGTGTTTTGATGATGCTATCCTAACAGGGGTGAGGTGGAATCTTAGTGTGGTTTTGATTTGCATTTCCTTTATGCCGAGATGGTGAGCATTTTTTTTCATGTTTTTGGCCATTTGAATTTCTTCTTTTGAGAAAGTTCTGTTTAGTTCAGTTGCCCATTTTCTTTATTGGTTCATGGTTTGGGAGTTTAGTTTTTTAAGTTCCTGCATATTCTGGTTATCAGTCCTCTGTCTGATATATAGCTGGCAAATATTTTCTCCAATTCTGTGGGTGGTCTCTTCAGTTTAGAGGCCATTTCTTTTGTTGTGCAGAAGCTTTTTAATTTTATAGAGTCCCATTTGTCCATCCATTCTCTTAGTTGCTGAGCTGCTGGGGTTCTTGTGAAGAAGTCCTTGCTTATACCTATTGCTTCCAGAGTATTCTCTGCTCTTTTCCTGTACTAACTTTAGAGTTTCAGGTCTGACATTAAGGTCTTGATCCATTTTGAGTTGATACTAGCACAGGGTGATAAACATGGATCTTGTTTCAGTTTTTTGCAGGCAGATAATCACTTTTCCCAGCAACATTTTTTGAAGAGGCTGTCTTTTCTCCATTATATGTTTTTGCTTTGTCAAAAATAAGTGGTATAGTTGTGTGGATTCATATCTGGGTCCTCTATTCTGTTTCCACTGGTCTTCATGTCTGTTTTTGCCAGTACCATGCTGTTTTATTGCATTGCTTTGTAATATAGTTTGAAGTCAGGTATTGTGATACCTCCAGCATTGCTCTTTTTGCTGAGTATTGCCTTGGCTATTCGGTCTCTTGTGTTTCCAAATGAACTTTAGGGTAGATTTTTTCAATCTCTGTGATGAATGTCATTGGGATTTTGATGGGAATTGGCATTAAACAT